TGCTTTCTGTGGGAACAACCGTTCCCGACTTCTGGTCATCCGTGGAAACCTCACAGCTGCTGCTTACCGCAACCAGGTGCTCACCCCTGAACTCGTTCCTTTGATGGCGGATCATGGCCCAGGTCTACAGTTCCAGCATGATAATGCTCGGCCGCATACCGCGATGTTGACACGAAATTTCCTCCAAAACGCTGGAATCAACGTCATGGACTGGCCATCGAGGTCCCCTGACCTTAATCCAATAGAGCACGTTTGGGATGCACTTGGGAGAAGACTTTGTGGTCTTAGGAACCAACCTCAGAATTTGCAGGAACTTGGCGCTGCCTTGCAAGAGCAATAGCGCAGAATCCCCAACCACGTGTTCACAAGCATCAGGCAGTCGATGAGGAGACGGTGTTTGGCAGTGGTGAATGCGCGGGGCGGCCATACACGATATTGAACTGAGAAATTTCGCATTTTTATTCTTGTGACTTGACATTCTGTATACCCATGTTTTGGAACGGCGGTGTAGCCCAATGGAACTGATTATGGCACTGTCAGTGTATCGAGTACATCACACAGATCTCAGCAATGAAATAATAACAATTTAACAATCTTACCATCTCTTGGTCTTTTAAAGTGCCCTGAAGAAGGAATGTGAAGTTTCTTTTTTGACTCAGTATATTTTCATTTATATTTTAGGGGACATTAAGGCTGCTGTACAGACTGGTGTTTATATCTAAGCTAACTTTTAGGATTTCAAAGCCTTGTATCAAATCAAACTGGCAGCTGAAATATACTTTGGACATTTTAGAAAGAAATTATCAGCATTTGAGGAACTACATGAACGTCATTTTTTCAGATAATTTAACTTTAAATAAAGGAAATGAATTGGTACATTTTATTGTGGAGGAATAATTATTCCATAAAAAGCACAATCTTATATAAAAGAAGAACTGTGATTGAATAGCCAAATTAGACTTGTTGCACAACTTGTATTGAGAAATAGTTTCAGTAGATGGTGGAAATAAGTCAATAAGATAATCAGAAGTTTGCATGTTAACAGTATTGTAAAATGTTCAAAGTTTCTTATGCGTATGTCTAATTTATAAAGGTAACCAACCAGTTTTACTGTACAAACTAGCTCTTGAAGCGAATATTGGCAGACCGGTTACAATGTTTGCTGCTTCAAGCTGAACCATTTAAAGTTTATCACAAATATCTGCGGGATAATAATTTATTATCCCAGACATCAGACGCATATTCTAAGATAGGTCTAGCATACATTTCATACATGCTTGATAGAATATTTCTAGATAGGACGTACTTTAACGATCGTAATGAGGGAACTATTTTAGTGACCTTTTCTTGTACAGCAGTTACATGATGAGACCACTTTGTATTGTCCGATAAGTTAACACTAAGATGTTTATGTTGATGTACACACTCCAAATGTTCATTACTGAAGATCACGTCTGGAACTTGGCCAATGTCCATGGTTGAAAACATTATTGTGATATTTTGTAAATTTCCCAAGGATAGATAATAAACTAACAGGTCTGTAATTAGTTGGGAGGGATGTATCTCCTTCTTTCAAAATAGGAGTGACATTACATTGTAGGAAATACAGTCACTCAATGATATATTATACAACAAAGAGGTTCAGCTATAGATGTACAAACACTCTCATGTTAATGTCCTCAGGTCCACTAGATTTGTTTGCTGGTAAGGTCTTATCAGATACCTCCTTTTCGGTTACAATGACACTTGTTATAATGTTAACACAGCGATGGCTAACAGGTGGCAAAGTTTTGCCGCCCTTATTAACATTTGAAACAGATACAAAATATTCATTTAATGTTTGAGCGTTATCCAATTCTGTAAAAACTGAAGGTATGCCAGAATCATCAGTGACAAGAGGGGGAATGGGTGATAAATAGTTATCAAAATTAGATATAAAGTTTTCCTTGGTTATTCCTTTCAGATTATTTACTTTATTCCTTTGCTTTTTGTATTTAAATAGCTCAGAAGTATTCAGAGATCGAAATGCTTTTTTCCTTAGACGTTCTCTTTTCTTTTAAGTATGTTACGAGGGGCGTTGAAAAAGTAGTCAGTCTAACTAATGTATGTTCTTGATGTTCGGGGCGGTGGGGTAGCCTAGTGGTTAAAGCGTTGGCTCGTCACGCCGAAGACCCGGGTTCGATTCCCCACATGGGCACAATGTGTTAAGCCCATTTCTGGTGTCCCCCGCCGTGATATTGCTGGAATATTGCTAAAAGCGGCGTAAAACTAAACTCAGTCAGTCAGTCAGTCTTTATGTCCAATGTTTGAAAAGCTTCCATTTTATTTTGAAGGAATCATTAGCAAAGTCATATCCAAAACTCCATGTGGGTAATGTGGTTAACGAGATATCAGTCATCACAACACATTGGGGTATAATGTGTCTTACAAATTTGCTGAAAATAGAAAACGATCTGTCATTTGGTATCTAGTAATAGTAATAGTCCGCTTATATGACGCTCATATCCAGGCACATTGCCTGCTCACGTCGCTACGTACATTACTATCCCCGATCATAGGACACTATCGTAGTTTCCGGTACTTTTTGCAACTCCCTGGGGATCATACAGCCATGCTGCCTGTTAGGCGCAATGAACTAAACACTCACATTGATAGCACATCACCCATTTTACAGCTGGGTGAACTGAGACAATGTGGATCTAAGTGTCATGTACCCGTCTCAGGACCCGAACCTAGGTGCCTCCTCGAACCCGGGCCTTCAGCGTTATAGGCAGACGCCTTACCACGGCACTATTGCGCTAGCTCTTGGATAATGGTATGATCTCAGATAATACCATATAAAATATGTTCAGCATAGTATTGGATGACTTCCCGTCACCATTAACATTCAAAGATTTGGATGGCTTGATTTATATTTAGACGGGAACTGTTTTTTTAAGGACACCCTCATTTTAATTTTTCAAAAGCATTGTGTCAAGATATACAATATATTGAGAGCTGACACTTGTGTGACCATTCAGTATTTAGTTTGAACCCTTGACATCATGTATGAATAAGTGAAAAGATTAGGATAAGTTATGTTCTTATGATGACGTCAACTGAAAGGGGGATGGGTAGCGTCTCCAAAACATGCTCTTTCAGTAAACATGAAGGGGGGAGTCGCTTCATCAAGCGATTGTAGTTTCAAATTGCTTTTTTGTGCAGTTTAATATCTAAGTTTGATTCAAGCGGAATTTTACCAACATACAAAATGTTTCTTGCATACATGTATTTTGTTTCAATTGGTGTAGGGGGAAATCCCGCCAATACACCTTTACATAAAATTGGATCAGAATCTATTCTTTCCTGAGTTCGCGGCTACCAAGCTTGGCATGTGCAAAACTGTTACACCTTCGCTGTGACCTTGAAAATGACCTCAAGGTCACTTAATGCAACTGGTGTCGGTACATCTAGTCAATAAAATTTGGTACCAAATTTGAACAAAATCCATCATTTCTTTCTCGAGTTCTTTCAGTAAACAGAATGGGGAGTCACTTGAACAAGCGATTGTAGTTTCAATATGTTTGATTCTAGCGGACTTCTACCAATCTCAAACATGCAAAAATGTTTCTTGCATATTTGGTTTCCTGAAGTTTGTGATGGATTTTATTGCAGATTTTATGTTTTTTGGGAGTACCAAGCTAAGATACAAAGTCACACAAAATGGGGATCGTGAGGCTGAAACATAGCAAAACCAATTTGCTTGAGGCTGACTGATAATATGTAGAAAAATAATACATAAAAACAGCTGCATTTGTATCATATTCTAGGTGAGGCTGGCTCTACATGCATGTAAGTGTGTTAGATATACCTGTTAGAAACCCACCCACCCCCACCCCCACTTTATATGTATACATATCAAAACCTCAACAGATATTTGCGAAAAGACATGTTACAGAGGACAGTTAGAGATTTTATATCGATTATATATCAGGACAGGCTTGACATTGTACCATGTGGGGAAAAGAACCTGGGTTTTTCATCGTGACGAGCGAACGCTTTAACCACTAGGCTACCTCACCGCATAGATATAATGAAACAAACCTAATGATACCATGCAGTATGTTCTCCCAATGGACCACAGTGGGAGTTGTCTACGATTCGTGTGACAGTCAGAGTCTGAGGGGAGACATTAGCGGCAAAGCACATTATGTGTTCGTTAATGATACTCAGCTGAATGCGACCTTACACGTGATTACAGAACTGATCAACAGTGACTTCCTTAGGGGTCTTAAAGTTGCCACATGTAACGAAGTCATCAATTCCGTGTTAACAATTGTTCTCAAAAGTGTTATTGACCAAGTGGGAATATCGGAGTAGAACTGTCTACTGCTAACATATGCGAGTGAGTGAGTACGTTTTCACATCGCCTTTAGAAATATTCCAGCAATGTCACGGCGAGAGACACCAGAAATGGGCTTCACACATTGTACCCATGTGGGGAATCGAACCCGGGTATTCGGCTTGACGAGCGAACGCTTTAACGACTAGATTATCCCACCTCGCCTTCTTTTGTTAGACGTAGAGATTGTTCAAAGGTACAAATTGAACTTGTGGGGAAATTAATATTCGTATTGAAACTGAAATCAGGAATATTTTGGTATCTGTAGATTTTCAAGCCTAGCCACAGGTCTCTAAGGCTGAGCTAACGTGTGCATCGGGTAGTAGAAGACCAAAATAGATCAGTTGTCAGACTCCATGAGTCGGCTAATTGTGTGTCTCGGTGCCCCAATGGTTTGGATTGCTGGTCATACCATCAGTCACTGGTTATCTGGTTAGGTGATGATGATGATGATGATGATGATAATGATGATGATGATGAAGATGATAATGATGGTGAAGATGATGATAATGATGAAGATGAAGATGATGATGATGAGGAGATCTAATTAGGACCATTTATGTATATAGCGTTGTAATACAGAAGCATATTGCTGAAGGTGATATTAAACAACACTTACATATGTAGTCTGTTTCACTTTGCCAAATCTCCCTGATACGTAAGAAGTCCATGTAGAGTGTCCCTCCGCCGGGAGAAGGCTGGCAATTGCTAAATCGGCGTAAAACAATAGCGAGTGAGTTAAACGTTTACATTGCATCGCCAAAATTGCAGCCATATGGCAATGAGAACATGTGACAATAACAACTTTTCCATTGTGTGATATATAACGTACAACCATATCCGTATCAGAGATCTACCCGTGAAGATCCGGGTTAGAATTGATCGTCAGTAACCCACGCTTGGCGTAAGAGGTGGTCATTCTCACTGACTTGACTCACACATGTCATTGTATCCTAGCTGTGTAGAACGATGCTCATGCTGTTGATCACTGGATTGTCTGGTCCAGACTCGATTATTCACAGACCACCGCCATATAGCGGGAACATTGCTGAGTGCGGCGTAAACCTAAACTCATTCACTCAATCGTATCAGAGATCCATTAAATGTTGTGTTTCATTCGCTTGTGACTTTTAACCCATATTTTGATTGTTTGCAGATAGACAATTCGATACTTATTCGGGGAAGAAGATGATTTCTTCAAACCAGGCTCAGGCTGGACTGACGCGGGCGGAGTGTTCCAGGAGATGTTACTACGACAATAGTTGCTATGGCATCAACATCCGGGTCGCTGATGATGAATGTCAACTGATCACCGAGTTCAACAACCATACATCAGCCGACGACAGTGGCTGGAATCTGTATCTGATGTGTTAAGTCCTACAAGCTGAGAAACAGAGACTACGACACGAGAATCTGTGAGGCACAACTGCGGTAAAACCGCACCGTTTTAGCATCATACCCACATATATTTTGTCAATCGTTAGATTTGAGTGGCGCATTAATATATTGCACAACGATCATATGTGACGTCATCCGAGCTTCTGCTTACTACTCACACCTGGTGTGACCCTCAACTCAAACGTTTCCTCCATGCCTGTGGATTAATAGGGCGAATGTGATCACGAAATCTACGTAAGACGTAAGAACAGTTATCATCACACGAAAGCCACAACGCTTCGACACAGACGAAAAACAGTTCGACCGAAGCACGACTAACATATCAATAAATTACAACCAGGAAAGTAGTCCGTCATAAAGTGAACTTAGGTCATCACCATGGAGTAGCCAATCACGGACCTGGAATTCGATCTCACACATATCTTTGATACCAGTTGTCTAACATGGGTTTCTCACCCACAGGTGTGGTTGAAACATGCATTGAATGTGTCTATTATTAATTTAACACCTTGCCCTTGTCCAACTAAAGGGATTAGATAAAATCTTGTGGATGAACGTTATCAGTGACTGAAAAAAACCTGTTTTCGAAATTAACGGAGCCAAATTTTAACACAGCTTGGAATTGGAACTACGAAGTAATAACTACGTGTAGCGTGTTATGCCAAAACACAGTGAAAGACGGATACCGATTGTTGTAGCACAAGACGATTTAGTATACGAGTTTCCCAACGACATATTTGCATGACTGATATGTGAGGAGGACAGTAGACTGCTATTTAATTAAGTGAGACTGCTTGTTATTTCTGACAACAGCTAAACGTGAGAAGGTCACAACGTTCTTGTACTTTGTCTTCGTGTCTTCACTAGAAGTTAATTGCACGGCTTCTTATTGTTTTCAAACGGATCAGCGGAAAGCTGCTGCACGTTTCAAAGCATGTTTCAAAACTAGAAGCCTATATCCATGTGTTCTTAACATTGAAATGTTTAAATTTATTAATGGTACTTTCAAGCAGTAAGATGAAACAGGAGTTTATCATACTAAATTTTAGGAGCATTGTGTGAAATTTTATGATAAAATCATATTTATCAGTAGTCTAACGGGTAAAATGTGCACGACCATTTTGATAACTAACTCGTAAAGATCCTTGTTTGAATTAGTCTTCAGCCACCCATGCTTGCCGTCAGAGGCGATTAACAGGATCGGGTTGTGAGGCTAGCTGACTTGGTTAACACATGTCATTGTATCCCAATTGCGTAGATCGTTGCTCATGATATTGATCACCGGATTGTCTGGTCCAAGCTCGATTACTTACAGACCGCTGCCATATATCTGGAATTTTGCTGATTGCGTTAAAGAACAAATGAACACAATTTGTTTTAATTACTGCATTAGAAATAGATCCGGAGACAAGGCATCCATGGTGGCAACTTGCCGGCAATAATGGTTACACGGTCTTGTGTATAAACGAGACAACACTAGTTCCATAATCAGTACAAATCTGTCTCTGCAGTGCCGTTCCGATAATAGCAGAAGCATGTTTACATATAGCCCTTTAAAACATCGATGTTACCAGGCGTCAGCGAAAATGTCAGCAGCCGGAAGCAGCTGTCATCAAAACTTGAAATTGCTCACCTGAACAATACACGGAATGTCAAAAGTCAAGTCAAACCAGGCAATTGTCTCGGACATCGTATTTGTTTACTGATGAGTTAAATTTTAATGTGTTTCTCAGGCCTTGAATAATGTAATCCTGATGCCACTTTTGAGCAAGCGTCGTCGTAGAAGCCTAGATTTTTACACCGAATTTTGTACAGAGCCACATATGAAACCGATAACGCACATACTGATATTCAAAAGGATCTGCAGGCCCAATTAAGAATGCCATATCTTACAAATATAATCTATTTCACACTGGTTGCATTTAACTACACGTGAAGATCCGGGTTAGAATTGATCTTTAGTAAACCATGCTTGTTGTAAGAGGCGACTAACGGGATCAGGTGATCAGACTCGCTGACTTGTTTGACACATGTCATCGTAGCCCAATTGCGCAGATCGATGCTCCTGCTGTTGATCACTGAATTGTCGGGTCCAGACTCGATTATTTACAGATCTGCGCCATATATATGACTATTGCTGCGTGCAGCGTTAAACAACAAATTACCCAAACCAAGCATTTATGGAAAGCTATAGGTTATGCTTACACGTGACAATGTAATGATTACTTCTGATTGTTCATGAATTCTTGGTTGATAATGTCATTGATAGCTAGGTCTGTTAGGAGTGAATTAGCCGGGGAAATATGTCACTGAAAAAATGTTAAAAGTTAATTTTAAAAGCCAAATAATTTGTTTGGCTCAATCTTTGGTTGAAACAGTGCTGCTGTGACTGTGAATATAAGCTAAGTCGCTATGGTTACAGTCCGTTTGATTTCATGTGACTGTGAATATAAGCTCAGTCGCTATGGTTACAGTCCGTTTGATTTCATGTGACTGTGCAAAATTTGCTTTTGTTGCAATTGTTAGATTTTGTGTTAGTGAGCAATTCATTGGTCTCAAATGAAATCAAATGGACTGGACATGCCAATTAATAAATATATATTTGTGACAGTCTAGCTATTTTACTCTCATTTGTTGACACTTTTATATGGTGTAATATTTCTTGTTAATATTATTGATACATATTTGTTTCTGGTTACGACATAGCTCAAATTTGCAAAGTTTAAATCAGTATATAATCAGTATTGTAACAGGAACCGTTCCGTCACGACATACCTTATATGGGCACAGACAGCAGTAGTATCCAAGATTAAGAATTACGCCTGTATCAGTTGGATGTGTCTCAATACTAACATTCGTGTTAACGGTAACCTATAATTAGACAATATCCCAGCAAACAAGTTCACGTTGTCACAACATTATGCTTTCGTTGTTACGTTACTCTGTGGACTCCATTTACGTTGTCACAACGTTGTGGCCTGACGTTGTGATACGTCATTTTTACGTCAACACAAGGTTGATGCTAACGTATTTACGTTATCTTAACGTTCTATTTAACGTTAATAGTCAAATAGATTTTCCAGTAGTGAACAGTACATAAGAAACAAAGCAGAAATTCATTTCAATGTTATTCGTCAATTTGTTTTGGTCGTGTGTTTCCTGAAGCTGTAGCTGAATAGAGAAGTAAGAATCTCAAAGTGAAACGTTTTACAGAAAACGCTATCATGACAAGTTATAAGAAACGTTCAGTTTTGAGTTAGTGAGTGAGTGAGTATGGGTTTACGCCTCTTTTAGCAATATTCCAGTAATATCACGGCGGGAGACACAAGAAATGGGCTTCACACATTCCCATGTGGGGTATCAAACTCGGGTCTTCGGCATGACGAGCGAACGCTTTAACTACTAGGCTACCCCACCGCCCGATTCAGTTTTGGAATTATCGCAATATATTTGCTGTGGTCAGTACTTACTTTGAAATTGATCTCAGTTGTGTATAAAAATAATTCAATACAGTATCTGATGGACAGATACGGAACATTTACTATATTGTTTCATACCAAATAGACACGGACGTGTGCTTTTCAAATATATTTTACAGACACCCAGCTTCAGTCTGCTTTCTGTGTCTACAAGGTCAAATACTACCACGCTGATTTTGCTTATGTGTCACCATTTTTGCAAATAAAACAAATCAAACAAATGCGCATGTTGTTGTTTTATTGTTAGGCAGTATTTTTACAATGTCAATGTCACGGTTGGGTCATGCTGGAATTGACACAACATGAATGACCTCCGCTGATGCTGGCATACAGCAGAGATGATATACATGGTTTCAGTTAAATGTCCCCGCTTTCACAGGGAGAGGACAAGTTACATTGATTGATTGTTTGTTGTTTTACGCCGCACTCAGCAATATCCCAGCTATATGGCGGCGGTCTGTAAATATTCGAGTCTGAACCAGACAATCCATTGATCAACATCATGAGCATCGATATATGTAGTTGGGACGCGATGACATGTGTCAACCCAAGTCAGCGAGCCTGACCACCCGATCCCGTTAGTCGCCTCTTACTATAAGCATGGGTTGCTGAAGACCAATTCAAACCCGGACCTTCACGGGTACCAAGTTACATACCGGTTCCGATTTGGAAACTACCTACAACCTCAACATGATCAACATATTTTGCAGTACGTTATTTACTAAAACAGGGCACATGGTCGAAATGAAAATAGAAAATACATTGGGGATATTTCATGTGTAACAAAATTACGTGTTTTACTCCACAAGATGACAGATACATCATATGTCACTAGACACATGAAATATGCCATTTATTCAGTATTTCCAGTTTGTTTTATTAAATTTAAACAAAATTAATCCAAAATAATCGATTCTAATCCAAAGTCTCCCAGCTGTAAACTAACGCCCGGATAAAACATAGTTCGGTATTCGAAAATCAAATAAAAATCGTGACAACATACATCTGTATCAATTGCAATCTTTATATTTATTGTCATTGCTTTTTAGAATCACCACTTATAATAACATCCATCAAACCATCCTTTTTGGTCTTAGCATCAACGTAAAAAGAACATGGCGCCCCGAGAGAAAGAGAAGAGTAGTGATTGGAAATAAACTAAACTATTTACAGTGTCAGTAAGCATAACGACAGGTAATTACGGTTGTCATTCGATGTAAATCAAGCCTCTTGTACATAAAATATCCGTTTTGAACGCTACCAACTCATAACTCAAGTGCTCTGAACAGAGGCGTAGACTCCACACGGACAAAACACTCTAAAGTCACTTACAGTAACACTCTCTGTGCCCGCGTCTACGGAATGATACGCCGATCAGCTGATCGGTCCGAGGTGTATTCTCTGGGGGCTAGTTATCCGATGTCCAGGCTTGCTGACCAAATTAATTTCGGGAAATACATATTGCCATTTACTGAGTTGATGTGACAAGGGGCAAGTTGTCTAAGGCGCCAGGATAGTGATTGATCCAGCGAGCATGTTGGTGCCGGGATAGAGCCCACCTGTGACCGGGTGTAAAAACCTTGGAGTCAACTTTGTGTGCAGACTCTTTCAGTGTTGTCACAACCCCTAATGTACAGTACACAACCCTGTGCACTTAAAAGAACCCACGAATCCGTTGGTATATGACCAGATGGTGGCCACATGAATACATGCAAACACCTAGTTGCAGGTACAGCAACGTGCAGTAAAACATGGACAAAGCACTGTCACTATGTGTCCCAGTCCACCCAGCTGTGAATGGGTACGTTGTAAGGATGGGATAGTCCATTAACTAGTGGCTGGACGAGTTGTATAATCCCCAGGGAGTTGAGATTGAAAATACCATGTGCCGTTGACATTGACAACGAGGGAAAACCAAAGCGCTTTGAGCATGCATGTTGATGGGATTGACTATAGTGCTATATATACTGAGCCGCAAAAGAAACGCCACACCGTTTTGTTGAATCTTAAACCACACACTTTCATTCGCTCTAATTAAGAGTCAAAACGGAGGATTGAGTTCAAAACCTGACAATTATGGTCAACACATTTTCGGGAATCACATTTAGAGTTCACACAAACAAAATCACCAAAAATGGTACCTCAATTAGGATACCTAAAGGTCAGTAAAGTATGTGGTCCCCCGTGGGCATCGTGGAAGGTGTTGCATCGTCTGTACATGGGATGAATTAGCCGGTTGATGAAGGCCATATGCACTTACTATGGGAAGTGCCTCTCCAGCCGCAGCTGTCGGACTTGATTGGAAGTCATTCAGCCTTCTTTGAATATCGTCCCAAAGGTGATAGATAGAATATCATTTTTCTCTTTCACGTTTAAGTGTATAATAAAGTTGCTCATATTTTTTATTCATCGCTCCACATCTACTCATCCAAAACTTGATATTGTGCTTCTATTTGATTTCGCTAAACCCTTAGCAGCAACAGGGTTTGATGACCGTTTGTGTGAATCCCAACTGTATCCTAATTAAGAGCCTTGGAGGGCGGTGGGGTAGCCTGGTGGTTAAAGCGTTCACTCGTTACACCGAAGACCCGGGTTCGATTCCCTACATGGGTGACAATATGTGACGCCCATTTCCCCGCCGTGATAATGCCGGAATATTCCAAAAAGCGGCGTAAAGCTAAACTCACTCACTAGCCTTGGTTTTTCACCATCATGCTCGGTTTGGTGTTTGTTGTTAAACGCCGCACACAGCAATATTCCAGATATATGGCGGTGGTCTGTCCAGTGATCAACAGCATGAGCATTGATCTGCGCTTTTGGGGTACAATGTCAACCAAGTCAGCAGTCTGACCACCGTTAGTCGCCGCTCACGACAAGCATGGGTTACTGAAGATCAATTTCTAATCCGGATCGTCACGGGTCACCTTCCAAATTGTAATAACACTCGTTTGAAATTGAAATAAGTTTACTGAAGTTCTTCCATTGAAATATGTGATGCCTGTTTTGTTTAAATGAGTTCAACATTCCTAAAGCTATTGTCAACACATGTGTCATGCACTGTGAAAGTCTGTGTTGATGGCACATGTCAACATCTTGTCAGGAACGGCATTCCATGCAACGACCTCTCAAATACTGCACCACAAACAAGTGATAATGAACAGAAAATATAAAGTGGAATTCATCGCCAATATCATTTTGATTACAGAGTTGCCATCTTTTTTCATACAATGGTACTTTCTTCCACCTGTCAGTTTCAACTGGAAGCCGATGATTTTATAATAGAAAGTACAATAGTGGCATTGTGTGTTTCAAATCATAGGTATTTTGATTATGTTCAAATGATGGGCAATCTTTTGCAAAGAGTTTTTTTAGGATTTAGTACATGTATTGTTCCAGACAATAGTTTCATTTTTTGTTTAGTTGTTGAGTGAGTGAGTTTAGTGTTACGCCGAACTCAGCAATGTTCCAGCTATATGGCGGCGGTCTGTAAAGAATCGAGTCTGGACCAGACGATCCAGTGATCAACAGCATGAGCATCGATCCACGTAAATGGGATACGATGACGTGTGTCAATCAAGTCAGCGAGCCTGACCACCCGATGCCGTCTTACGACAAGCATGGGTTGTTGAAGAGCAATTCTAATCCGGATTTACGGGTTCCGGACCTGTAAATATTTGTCATTTTCAGTTTTGGGACATAAAGGATCTGCGGTGTATATTGTATTAACCAGACATCGCTGAAACCCAGATTTTCTAGCACTGATTTGACTTGTAACAAAAACACTTGACTGTATTTATAACTTCAACTAGAACGTTACTAATCCTCTCTATTACATCGTAAGTGTTTTGCATTTGTGTCTGCAGCAACATTATATCACGCTTACCGAAGCTTCATATTTCTGAGTCGTAATGGTTTGGGAGCAATATTATTCCAGAAATCTGATAGTATACTCTTAAAAAATAGGGAAACCAATGGGAAGTACAAACCAAACGCATAAGGCATTTTAGAAGAATTTATTGCTTCATTTTAAGAGCAATTATTTCATGCAATGTCAATGGGAAAAAGGTGGAAATTCACATGTCCATAGACAATGAGTACGCCTAACTCCTTTATTGCTGTGTTTCTGTTTACATGGTCCACAGGATGGCGTCAAAGTCAGTACTTTGTACGGCCACCATTGGCAGCAATTACTGCTCGGCACCTTCTTGGTACAGACTGGATGTACGCGTCGATCGAGTTCATCCCAAAGGTGTTCTATCGGTTTAGATCTGGTGATCGTGAAGGCCATGACAAGACTTTGACGTTAGAATTGGCAGGGTAGCGGGCCGTGACGCCTGCTTTATGTGAAGTAGCGTTGCCATGCTGTAACAACTCCCTCTGTCGGTCCATAATCGGAAGCATGTGACGTGCAAGGACTTTGTTGATGTACCGATTTGCTGTCAAATTGCCGTGAACCACCACTAAATCAGATCTTTGTGTGATGGACATCCCACCCCACACCATGACACGACCGAATCTGTCGACCTGTCAAATGCAACTAGGGGCAAAACGTTCATTTCTCCGACGGTAAACATACTGTCTTCCATTTCACCGGTGAAGAAGAAATCGTGAGTCATAACTGAACCAGACTCGCCTCCAGTTTCTAAGGTTCCAGTTCCGAACTCTACGACACCACCGCAAGCGATTGCGCCGATGGAAGTCTTTCAAAACAAGGGCGACAACTGGCCTTCTTAGTCGAATCTATTCCGTCGACAGTTGGTTCGGAAATTCTTCTCAAACCGTCCAGGTCGTCCAAGGTCAACAACGAGAGGACAGGATCGTTTCATTCGGAACTAGGCTTTAAGAAATCGAGCGAATCGGCATCAAATTGCAGAAAATTTGTATCAGACTCCTGGTGTTCGAGTTACGGGTCAGACGATTAGGAATCGCTTCCATGCGGCTCACTTGCATGCTGGGTTGTGCCACCCTTGACTGATCGTCATATGGCTGTAAAAAGAGAATGGTGTAGACACTGGAGGAATCGTCGTTGGTCACGTGTCATGTTTTGGGATGTCTCTAGAGTCACTTTGGACTTCCTTGACAGGCGTGGTCGGGTCTGGCGACGAAGAAATGAACGTCACGCTAACATCAACGCGAGACCACACGACCAAATTATATGTGGGACACTTATGGTATGGGGTGGTATCACTATGACAGACCGAATCCCTCTTCATGTTGTGCAAGGAAGGGTCACAGGGCAGTACTTTCGGGACAACATACTGACATCCTTTGTTGTCCCATTTGCTAGGCATTTCGATCGTCATTTCGTCTTGCAGGATGACAATGCCCGTGCTCACAATGCACGTATCGTCAATAATCACCTCCAGCAACACAACATTTATCGTTTGCATGGCCAGCAATGAGCCCTGATCGTTCCCCCATTTAACACGTCTGGGACATGTAGGATAACGTGTGCGTCAACGTCAAAGGCCGCCGACTACGCTGAATGAACCTGGTCGTGCGCTTCAGGAAGAATGGAACAGACTCCCCCAGTGGGTTATTGGGAGACTCATACACAGCATGCCTCGTCGTCCGACCCTCAGTGGTGGAATCACAGACTACTGAATGAAGACCGTATCAAGAGCGATAAATGTACAAACAACTATGGTCATAAGGAATTGCAAGTAGTGATGCACTCTCAAAACATTCATTATTATCATATCAACATTGATTGACTCCAATATATCTTCCAATGTTTTCAATCGTAAACTAAAAATGAAGTTCCCCTACTTTTTTTTAAAGAGTATATTTATAGACTATTGCTTTGTTTTGCGTTGAGCATGTGAAAACTGTTGAAACAAAACATTTCAAATGGAGTGCATGCTATTGTTACGTAAGGCCTTTACAAATGAAACCAACACCCAATGCTCATTTTCACACGAACAGTAGCGCAAACATTACCGAGCTCTGCAGTACGAATCACTGTTTGGGGAGTGCTGGCTCATTTCTGATTTGACCATGTGACCATTTGGCGAGAACTACAGCATCATATGGTCACCTACTGAACAACACATTTGGTGTGGGAGAGACAAGCAATTCTGAGACAATGCTTTCCGGGTAAGTTTGAAACCATTGGCACATCGCTGATTTTGTTTGATTTATTTGATAAACTCATGAAAAAATGTTGGTTGATCATTAAAATTCAACTAATTTTGAAATTATATGTTACAGTTTGTCCTCCTCAAGTTGGATAAGGATAACATAAAGAACAATCTCTATCTATTTTTTCTTTGTCGTTTGTTTCGCGAGCACCTAGTGTCGTCGCTGACATTGCGTGGTAAATTCATATCCTACCACAGTTACTTTAAACCAAATTCAATCTGTTTGTGAGTAAAAAAGGCTGGGTTTTCTTTTGCACTGACGTTTGTTTTTAGGGAAGACTCCTTAAAGGTTTTGGCGTCAGTGGTTCCAGTCGCTCTTTGTCTTATCATCTGGAAGTTGTGGAACATGCATAACTATAGTCTCAGAGACCGCACATGCAGCCTGCCACTACCGCCTGGCAGCATGGGACTTCCTTTGATTGGGGAAAGTCTTCATTTTGTGTTAATGGTAAATGACCTTTCTTATTAGTTAAACTGCATTATAGATATTTATTGACATATTTTGGTTTTAACTAATTGTAGTCTGGAACTTAATACTTTGTCAAGAGAGAGGTTTTGTTTGTTTGTTTGTTTGTTGTTTAACGCCACATTCAGCAATATTCCAGCTGTATGACACTGGTCTGTAAATAATCGACTATGGACACGATAATCCAGTGATTGACATCATGATCATGGATCTGTAATAAAATGACATGCACGAACCAAGCAGCGAGCTTATCACCCGATCCCTTAGGTGGCCTGACCTTTACGGATCATTTGTAATAGAATACTTTTTACAATAGACGATAAAATACATTCGGATATATAGGTTCATTTTTCATGTTTTAGGGTGCCAATTTCTACAGGAATAGGCTGAAATCCTACGGCAGCGTCTCAAAAACCAACATCCTTGGGAATCCAACCATTCTCGTCCTTGGAGCAAAGAACGTCCGCAAGATATTGATGGGAGAGACCTCTCTCGTGGCTTCTTACTGGCCACAAAGTGTCCGGACTCTCATGGGCGAAGGAACAGTAAGCCACTCCGAGGGACCAATCCACAAAACACGCAGGAAGTCCATCGGCAAGGCTTTCAACCACGAGGCCATGTCTTCTTACCTTCTGGAATCTCAGGTCACCTTTCGCTATTACATAAAGAGATGGTGCAGCCAAGCAACCGTATTGGGCTTCGATGAATGCAAGAAGCTGTCCTTGAGGTTTGCCTGTCACGTACTGATAGGCTTTAAAGTCAGCGAGAAAGAAATCGAAGAACTGATGGAGTTATATGCTGTGTTTGCAGAGGGACTTTTTTCCATACCTCTGAACATTCCAGGATCAGGATTCCACAAGGTAAAACACCTATAGCTCCAATTATGATTTTCATTTCTATGTTCATAAAGTATCCTAACTGTCATTGTAATTCTAGATGATATGAAATAAAGATAAACTCTTTGGATTTAGACACATGGAAGTGTATCCTTTGTTCACTTTGTGAAATGAGTTACAGGTGCAAAGAGGTTCTGATTATGGGTATCTCACAAGCAAAATATACCGATACACTTTACGGTCACCTCATACATATAGTATGACCAGAAATTATTGAGAATTTTAGGAATATGTTATAAACAACCTGGTATAAACAACCTTGACCAGCTATCAAGTGCTTGGTTTCATTCAAGAGAGACAACTCCGTTAATCCTTTTTCATTAGTTTGTGAAGAGTTATCCCCCCTTTGTTTACTTGCTAGCAGACGACATTTTCAGTGATCCTCAGTATGGATGATTTAGAGAAGAGGAAGTTGATTTTAGAGTATTATAACAAGGACATCAGATCAGCTAAAGTGATTTCAAGTAGAACAGGCATCCCTTTGTCCACCGTTTATCGTGTTTTGAAAAATATTGCAAATGGATATGGCATTTAGCACTAGGGAGGCGCAGGTAGGCCCAGAAAATTAACTGTCGGTGACAGGAGGCGGCTTGGTATTCTTGTTTCTAAATACAAACGAAGGTGTTTAGAAAACTTAAGGCTGGATATGATTGATAGAGGAACTGTGGCTGTCTGTAAGGAGACAATTAGAACTGAGCTGCATGCAATGGGTTGGCAGAAAAGTCGAGGAATTCCATTACCGATCATTAAACCTGAACAAAAGGAGCGAAGGTTGAACTGGTGCTTACAGCATAGAAATTTTAACTGGGACAATGTGATTTTCTCAGATGAAAGTTCTGTGTGGCTGTTTCCTAATACACTGAAATTCTGGACCAAACAAACTGAAAAAACATTTGTATCAGCGCCCAAAGTACAGTCGGAAATTTAACGTGTGGGGTGGCATATCTGTGTTAGGGGCAACGCCCCTCTGTGTATTTGAAGGGAATATAAACAGTGAGCGGTACACAGATATTCTCGAGGGACATTTACTTCCATCTGCTCACGTGTTCTATGGAAATTTTTGGATTTTCCAGCAAGACAACAACCCAAAACATCGTTCAAAGCATTCACAGGCCTGGTTTCGGACCCAAAATATGACATTATTAGATTGGTCAAGCTATAGCCCTGACCTAAATCCAATAGAAAATGTTTGGGGACTTATGAAGGAAAGTGTCAATAAGAAAAATCTGACAAATATTGCTGAAACGAAAGAAGAGGTGGTCCGATATTGGGACAGCATGGACCACGACTTTCCAACTTCTTTGATCAGTAGTATGCCCCGCCGCATTGAAGCCTGCATTGCTGCCCATGGTGACTTGACAACTTAACTGTTCACCTGTCTTTGAATCTGGAGTTATGTTCTGCTAATATTCACATTTAATACGTGAGTAATGAGTGAAAAAAATAAAAAATTACAATCTTTAAATTCTCAATAATTTCTGGTTGTACTGTATGACGTCATGTTTTTCCATTTTAGTACCATTGGTAATTATGTATTTGTATTTGCGTATTATCTTCTTAATAAAAAAAAATATTAAAATAAAAAATATAATAATATTATATCATGAATTAAGACTTGTATCCTGATTGTATGTTTGACTGTAGGGTATGATAGTTCGCGAAAAACTGATGAAGAAGATCGGTGAATTTCTGGATCGACGGAAGGACTGGGTCGGTGCCCCCGATGCCCTCACGTACATGATGAAACTGTCGGAGGAGGTGCTGACACGGACGGAGCTGAAGGAGGTGGTCATGGAGCTGCTCTTCACCGGACATGTGACCTCTGGCAGCGCTGCCTGCTCCCTACTCCTCTACTTGGGGAAAAATAGAGAGGTAAGTACTTCTTTAAACAGAGAGGTGAGCACTGCTTCAAATAGAAAGGCGAGTATTTGTTCAAATAGAGAGGTGAGTACTTCTTCAAGTAAAAGATGAGTACTTCATCAAATAGAGAGGTGGGTACTTCTTTAAGTAAAAGGTGAGTACCTTTTCAAATAGAGTGATGTGTACTGCTTCAAATAGAAGGTGAGTATTTCTTCAAATAGAGAGGTTGATACTGCTTCAAATAATAGGTGCGTACTTCTTCCAATAGAGAGGTTTACAAGTGCTGCTTCAAATAGAGAGGTGAGTACTTCGTCAAATAGAGAGGTGAGCTCTGCTTCAAACAGAGAGGTTAGTATTTGTTCAAATAGAGAGGTGAGTACTTCCTCAAATAGAGTGGTCAGCTCTGCTTCAAATAGAGAGGTTAGTATTTGTTCAAATAGAGAGGTTGATACTGCTGCAAATAGAGACGTGAGTGCTACTTTAAATAGATAGGTGAGAACTTCATCAAATAGAGAGCTGAGTACTGGTTCAAATAGAAAGGGTAATACTTCTTTAAATAGCAGATAGGTGAGCTCTGCTTCAAATAGAGAGGTTAGTATTTGTTCAAATAGAGAGATGGATACTGCTTCAAATAGAGAGGTAAGTGCTGCTTAAAATAGATAGGTTAGTATTTGTTCAAATAGAGAGGTGAGTACTTCGTCAAATAGAGAGGTGAGCTCTGCTTCAAATAAATAGGTTAGTATTTGTTCAAATAAAGAGGTGAGTACTTCGTCAAATAGAGAAGTGTGTACTTCTCCAAATAGAGAGATAAGAGTTGCTTCAAATAGATAGGTCAGCGTTGTGTAAAATAGAGAGGTGAGCGCTGCTTTGAATAGAGAGGTGAGTACTTCATCAAATAGAGAGGTGAGTACTTCTTCAAATTGAAAGGTGAGTTCTTTTTCAAATAGAGAGGTGAGTACTTCGTCAAACAGAGAGGTGAGCTCTGCTTCAAATAGAAAGGTGAATACTTCTTTTAATAGAGAGGTGGGTACTGCTTCAAACAGAGAGTGAGATCCGGGTTAGAATATTGGCCTTCAGCAACCGATGCTTGTCGTAAGAGTCGACTAACGGGATCGAGTGGTCAGGCTCGCTGGCTTGGTTGACACATGTCATCGGTTCCCAATTGCGCAGACAGGTGAGTATTAGTTCAAAAAGAGAGGTGAGCGCTGCTTTAAATAGAAAGGTGAGTATTTCTTCAAATAGAGAGGTGGGTGTACCTTCAAATAGAGAAGTGAGTGCTACTTTAAATAGATAGGTGAGAACGTCTTTAAATATAGAGGTGGGCACTGCTTCAAAAAGAGAGGCGAGTACTGCTTCAGATAGACAGGCGGGTACTGCCTCAAATAGACAGGTGGGTACTGCCTCAAATAGACAGGTGGGTACTGCCTCAAATGGAGAGGTGGTACTTCCTCAAATAGACAGGTGGGTACTGCTTCAAATAGACAGGTGGGTACTGCCTCAAATAGACAGGTGGGTACTGCCTCAAATAGACAGGTGGGTACTGCCTCAAATAGAGAGATTGGTACTTCCTCAAATAGACAGGTGGTACTGCCTCAAATAGACAGGTTGGTACTGCCTCAAATAGACAGGTGGGTACTGCCTCAAATAGAGAGGTGGGTACTGCCTCAAATAGACAGGTGAGTGCTGCTTCAAACAGATAGGTGAGAACATCTTTAGATGCAGAGGTGGGCTATCAGCATCATCAGGCTTGAAGATGTATTTCAGACTAATGATCAGCAGGAGAAGCCATAAAAAAGTGACATTGCATTTCAAATTATTGTGAGTCTTACTTATTCGTTATGTGGAAATATGTCTACAGTTTTCAATGTGCTTTCATGCATAACGTTTCAGGTGCTTAACCACGTAGTCGATGAACTACGACAACACAACATCGACGACGATGAAGGGAAGATAACCCTTGGACAACTAGGGAAACTGAAGTATGTATCTAACGTTGTGAAGGAAGTGATGCGAATTGCGCCACCTGTCGGCGGAGGTTTCAGAAAGGCACTCAAAACCTTCGAGTTAGATGTAAGTAAATTTAAACGCGTAAACTTTGTTTTAAAGCCATAACCATGTTTACATTTAATCGGATATTTAGAGACGAATTGCAGTCAAAAGTTAAAAGAACCTACCTAAATATACTCCCCATCAAAAGTTTAGACTCACTAGTGTAAATGTAGCCACTTGCTTAAGTCAACTCTTCTAAACTAGATTTTGCAAAATTTACCATACTGTTTAATAGTACTGTTTACACATGAACTGATGCATTGTAAAACAAATTCGTAACGTTGAAAAGATTATTGTCATGGGTTAAAAAAATGATGAAACTGAGTGAAAATTGGCGAATTTTTAACAAAGTTTTACACCACAACACGGCTGTTCACATGCACGATACTTGCACATGCTTTTTAGCAATTTCATGCATGATCCTCGTGCAATTCATCTGCATAAAGTTTGCAGTTGGTTCCCCAAAGTTAGTTGGAGAAACTCATCTTCGATGTAACCACACATATATGCATAACATATAGTGAGTGCTTTAAGTGAGTCTAAACCTTTGATGGGTAGTATATTTCGAGTTATCTAAGTTTCGACACAACTGAAATGTAATGAATAAACAAAGCATACGAAGGAACCAAGCTTCTATTTCGAGACAGCCATAGTTCGGTACATCAAAGTTCAACGGTGTCTGTATACTTCCGCATACAATTTGCAAAACTCGAATTTCAGAATCACCACCTTCCGGGCCGGTTGGGTAGCCTAGTGGATAAAACGTTCGCTCGTCATGCCGAAAACCGGGTTCAGTTCCCCATATGGGTACAATGTGTGAAGCCCATTTCTGATGTCCCCCGCCGTGATATTGCTGGAATATTGCTACAAGCGGCGTAAAACCAAACTCACTCACCACATTCCAGTGAAACATATGCTTATATTGATTACACGGTGCTCTTAAGAACTCGTTTCATTCAAACTGAAACATTATCACGAATCAGGATGTAACAAAATGCATCGCAGTTACAAATATAACATGACAACTCTGGAAAAAACCATTTTATTTTGTTCCATTTGGATTCAGGGTTACCAAATACCCAAGGGGTGGACTGTCGCCTTCAGCATTCGTGAAGCTCAAGAACAAAGCGACAGTTTCCCAGATGGAGACAAGTTCAACCCTGACAGATGGGATGCTTTGACAAAGGAAAGAGAAACCTTCTTTCCTTTCGGGGCTGGAAGAAGAGTGTGTGTTGGCAAAGAACTAGGAAAGCTCATGCTTAAATGTTTCCTTGTCGAACTTGCTGTAAACTGTAGGTGGGATCTATTGAACAAATATCCAGTTATTGAGGAAATGCCTGTTCCTCGTCCAATAGATGGACTCCCTGTTGTCTTCTCTTCGCTAAGGAAGCTTGGGATCTGAAAGACAAAGTATTGCCAAGGCAGCAAAGTAGCTCTTCCGTTTATCGTTTACCGAAGTTTTGGAGCTTATGTATATTTCAGCTTTGACGTGTAATACCAGGACCTTCAGTAGTTAAGTCCCAGATCTACGTACTGAACATAGCACCTTCCCAGGGTTATTTTCGTATAAAATATATTTCAATCGGAAGGTGCAATTTCAGGGCGTAATTTCGGATAAAATACATTTCAAATGGAAAGGTGCAATATAAGGGCTTAATTTCTGATAAAATACAATTCAAATAGGGAGGTGCAATTGGGATTAACCAGTTCACGCGGCAAAATTAATATCAGAAATTAAGCACAATTAAGCCTTAGTGTATGAGTAATAATTATGCTTGGGCTTATACCTACGTATTCTTCTGGTTTAAACATTACGTACTCAGGAATTAAGAAACACTGCTAATATTCGGACATCAAGATGTCACTATGAATTTTATGAAAAATCTTTCCCACCCGAGACAATGAAGCTATGGAACCAACTGATGCATCAACTAATGGGATGTTCAAAATGCTACCCAACTTCACTTTGAATTAAACTCGATTCTGTCAGATAAATGCACCCCCCGACTAACCTCAAGAGTGCACCTACGCTATCTGGAATAAAAACATACCTCTTCTGACGCTACCACTAATTGTCTTTACTGCTGTCTGTCTTCTGTATATATGTATACATGCAATGATGTGCTTTGAGCATGTCCCTCAGTGATGTGGAACCGGCGCTATATAAATATCATCATTATTATTGTCATTATAGATTCGCTTCGAAATATTTGTAATGGAGAAGTATTCGCAAAAGCCATTACGGCTTGTTTACCGAGCCATATACTTTTTGAATAAAATGTGTTTCAGCCAGAGAGTCCTGGTCGCGCACCTTTGTTTTGTCTGTGTCAGCAATCACTGTGGGAATAACAATGCTTCGGTGCACTAGGACACACAGGGCAAAGGTACTGCTGAAGGTGTCACTGTGTGTCACAGATCAGGGCCCCCCCCCCCTTTCTCCCCCGAAAAACATATCCCTGAGGAGCATTTCCCCCTAACCTTTGGACTTCATGATATATACTGAAATGCAGAAGAAACGTCGTAATATCTGAAATGACATTTAGGTATCTATGGAGTATTTGAACCTATTTATTTTTTAAATATACACCGGAAGTCAAGGTTGAGGAAACCATGAATCGTGGTCGTGGAGTTGTTTTGCCCAATAAAGTATTGTTTGATATTGAGGTTAGAAATGTGTTTGTGGAAAGGGAAGAGTTTGCACTAACACAACATTGCAATCGAGATGCACATGCATAATGCATGAATTCAGGCATAAATTGCCGGCTTGAATGGCAGTCGTTCACTTGTTTTCTGAACACAGCAGCTATGGCTGCACTTCTGTAATAAGTGACATGGATAGTGACGTCACTTCCTAACAAAATGGTAGAGTCGCAAAAGGGCCCAGGCTATGTAACATGATACTCTTGGCAATCGAGGAACTACGGAGAGTATATACGGGCACGCAGACACTTATATAGAGGTGACAATTCATACAGAAGATCCGGGTTATGATTGGTCTTCACCAACCCATGCTTGTCGTAAGAACCGACTAACGGGATCGTGTTTTTGTTACAGGTCAAATCAGTACTAGAAAATCTGGTTTTCACCGATGTCTGGTTAATACAATATACACCGCAGATCCTTTATGTCCTAAAAACTGAAAAAAGACCAATATTTACAGGTCTGGAACCCGAAAGGATCCGGGTTAGAATTGCTCTTCAGCAAGCCATGCTTGTCGTAAGACGAGTGGTCAGGCTCGCTGACTTGGTTGACACATGCTATCGTATCCCAATTGCACAGATCGATGCTCATGATGTTGATCACTGGATTGTCGGGTACAGACTCGATTATTTACAGACCGCCGGCATATAGCTGGATTATTGCTGAGTGCGGCGTAAAACTAAACTCACTCACTCACTCATACAGAGACGGAGCGAAAAAAGTTGATGGTGGTTTCGAATCCAAAGTACTAAGTCTTCACTGCCTGGTTCCCGGGGTCTGCTGCGCTACGCTTCGTGACAATAGCAAGCTGACACGAAATATCAACGCACATGTCAGTGTTGAAAATGGGGTGTGTGTCATTGTTTACAATGCTAAATTCGCGTCTCGAAACACGTTCTCTAAAAGTAACGATGGTCGTAGTTTTGGTGACGTATACTTGGAATTAGCATGGATGAAAATGATATTAAAAATACTAACCACCCAATCTCGGATTTTTCTATAGTAAATATTTGACAAGGAGCCCAGTAGTGACAGCCGCCATTGCGCAGACCTTACTGGGGTCAGTGTGGATGCGTTGCGCAGCAGGCCCCGGGAACCAGGCTGAAGTCGCGGACAGTACTTGGATGGGTGACCGTGTTTGGCAGCTTGACTCCTGAGAGTTTCTTGGACTTCAACGACACGTGTGGTCTCATCTTAGACAAGTGAATTCCCTCTGTTCACCCAGCAGTGAATGGGTACCCGGTGGGATAGGTCATATGACTGTTAACCTCTTAGCGCCTTACAGGCAACTTGGGTTATACTCCATCAGCACTTTGAGCATCACAAGTACGTGGAAACAAGCGCTTTGTAAATAACCATTATTGTTATAGCAAACGCAGCGCCATATACACTTGGTCACATTACAGTAGAACGTAAAGTCATGACGTAACACTAATAACTCATAAATGTTTGGTTATATATGTAAAAGCAGATTGTTTCATGAACCATGACATTATTTTATGACATTAAAGTTAATTATTTAGTACATCATTAAACACTCTAGATATATATCTCACACATGACGCATTTGCTTAGTCACTATATGACACCTTCGTTGCGATTCCCAGAAGCCCATGCTGATCGTAAGAGGCGACTTGTGTATTGGATGGTCAGGTTAGGCCACTTGGTTGATTGTGTGTCAGTGCCTCGACAGGACGTTGCGCAGAATGTCAATCACTGGATTGTCTGGTCCAGGTTTGACTGTTTACAGTCTAAAGTTACATAGCTTGAATTTTGCGGAGCGGCCTTAAAGAACAAACAATCAATGTGTATTATGTAAAATGTCCTGTAGAATTACGCCTGTGGGCGTTCAGCGTGTGGGCGTTCATATATTGGAGGTTTGATCCGAGAATTCCTTTTACGGGAAGATTTCATCAGAGTGTGCAAGTATCCCTTCTTACAATTCAGTCATCTTCACACAAACGCCCGTAGGAAAAGCTACTGTTCTCTGTGTCCGTGTCCTTCGTGTAGGTTTCCGTCTTGTGGGCCATGATAACCTGAAATCAATGTTATCATAACATCAGTATCGTTACGTCCATTGACCACATCGCTTCTAGTTCGGTGACCTTAGTGATATCTAACTCTATGTCCTGTGTAAGTCAACCTGTTCATTGACGGATTAATAGAACAACCGTGAAGGAAGCCTGCACGCCTTGGTACGACTGTGTACAGTGGGTTAGTTTGTCCAATTGGTTTAATAGTTTACAATTCTTCTTACAATCTGGGGCGGTGGGGTAGCCTAGTGGTTGAAGCATTTCGTCATGCCGAAAGCCCGGGTTCGATTCCTCACATGGGTACAACGTGTGAAGCCCATTTCTGGTGTCCCCGCCGTGATATTGCTGGAATATACTAGCTAAAATCGGCGTTAAACTAAACTCACTCACTCACTTCTAAGTATCTAAAATTGGTTCCTGGAAAACCTGTCTCAAAATGAGACAAAATGGATTGTCTAGTCATGCTCGGTGACTTGGTAATGGGGTGGGGTTGTCATCATCTGGGGCTCCTTTCACGAAACAACCTTTACTAAGGTTAACCTTAACTCCCATTCTTTAACACTGTACTAAGGTTACCTTAGTGACTTACGATCACCTTAGTGCTTTGTGTTAGGAGGCCCTGGCCCTGTAACATAGGAGGTACGAATACTACGAGAAAAGTTACGAGATCTGAGGCTTACGAGAGCTTTGTGAAACGGAACCCAGGTTATCAAACCCCGACGTCATGTTACACAGTAGGGGTGGGTATTGCAGATAATTTTCATATTGCGATATATTGCGATGCAAAAGCGTATATTGCGATATGTATTCCAATATATTGCAAGAAGGTTTTTTTCAACAAAAAACTACGTATAATCGAGTTAATGCTTGATTTATAAAGCAAAAACACAACAAAATCACTATGCTTGATTAAGATTTAATAAAAACTTTTAATCATGACTAAAACCAAATGTAAATAATATTTGGCACAAATACAAAAAAGGAAAGGAACAACTTAAAAAACGGAAATATCCGAAGATGTCCGAGTGTTACGAGGTTTTCCGAATGCATGTCAAAATACCGGTTTTCGATCAGCGCATCGCAATACGTATCGTTTTCATGTCTGAACCGGTAAATACCGGTAAACCGGTTATATTGCGCAGCACTATTACACAGTAACATCACTCAGCGGTGTGTCAGGTTCCAACTAGATGGTTCATACACGTATATTACTAGAACACTGCTGACTATGCCTTAACAACAAACAAAGGAAACTCACTGGTATTTCTTCATCCGTCCTGGGAAATTTTCTCAGGAACAAGCACAAGGGACAATACAGCAGATTGAGGATCGCAGTTCCTCGTATCAACCTGTAAAAGTAGGTGATCAACTATACGATATCAGCAGCTACAATGTTAACGGTATCGATGTCTCAGGCGTCCATTAGTTCGTGTGTTTACCAGTCTGTCTCACAGTCCCAGAACCGCATTATTTCCCCTACTGCCTAGCCTTTCCTGCAACGATAAAGCCCTTATTGAAGCAAGTCTAGATTTCCTCATGTCCTCACTGGGGCTCCTTTTCAATTTAAATTGGATTTTTTTGTCACCGTCAAAATTATATATATTCAGAGACTAAGCGTTTGTCTATGTTTCATCTGTACCTACATCCTGCTGGGGATTCAGACAATAAGTACGTCCGTACGTTTAAATATAAGATGGTCTAACTTTAACTGCTGGCAATTTATGGTCCGTTTCTATTCGGTATATGTGTAAATAGAGTGATTGAGTGAGTGAGTGAGTGAGTTTAGTTTTACGCCGGATTCAGCAATATTCCAGCTATATGGCGGCTGTCAGTAAATAATCAAGTCTGGACTAGACAATCCAGTGATCAACATCATGAGTATCGATCTACGCAGTTGGGATACGATCCCGTTAGTCGCCTCTTACAACAAGCATGGGTTGCAGAAGACCAATTCTAACCCTGATCTTCATGGGTGTGTAAATACAGACATCAGATACACAGTTACAGAAGATACACAGCTAATTGTCTGGTGTATTGTGTATCTTGAAGCTGTGGATGTGACTATAAATCTGATCTCACTCACACTCACTCTACTATATGTCTGTCCTTGTTTAATAGGTTGTTATTACATGTGCCTATTGTCGTCACAATAACACTATAACATCAGTGTGTGAAATAGCCACTGGCACGTTAGTCCGTGGCTAGTAAAAATCCAGTCGGGCTAGTAAATATCCACAGTCACTGGCCCGAGTGGCTAGTGAATTTTCATGGGGTCATTTTTTAAATAAATCACTCTCTCCGACTTGTTAAAATATAATGCACTTTTGAATCATGCAAGATTATGGCCTGATAAATGATGGTGTTTCACCTCTTTGTTATCTTTTGCTTAGTTTCTACATTCAAATTTCGGGCCAGTGAATTATTTTGTGGGCTAGTTACTTGCAGGCATAGCTAGCGCGCCTGCCTACCAAAACTTGGAAACTATTTCGTAAACTGTATAGCATTCCTGATTTGAGATAAATGTTTGGCCATATAATTGTGACAAGTAGTCCCTGGCAAGCAATGCTGTTATGGATGTTCACTGACTTGGTAACCCTCGATCCCGGTTAGAATTGGTCTTCAGCAACACATGCTTGTTGTAACGGAATCGGGTGGTCAAGCTGATTTGGTTGACACATGTCATCGTATCCCAATTACGTAGATAAATGCTCATGCTGGTGATCACTGGATTGTCTGGTCCAGGCTCGATTATTTACAGACCACGGTTATATACTCATGCCAATAATGGTTGTCACACCCTTCAATTTTTTTAATTGGTGTGGGGTGGGGGTGTGACGGGTTGGGGTGGGGAGGGTGACAACCATTATTGGCATGAGTATATATTGCTGAGTGCGGCGTTAAACAACAAACAAAAAAACAAACACTGACTTGATTGATACCTGTCACGGTATCGAAACACAAAGTGCTTTGACACTAATCACAGGATTGCCTGTTCTAGCGTGGATTATTCACAGGCCCCCGTCATATAGCTGAATATTACTAAATGCGGTGTGAAAAATAAACAAAAATATTTGGTTGCATGTTATCTGCGCTTACCATGGAAAGCCAATTGCCTTGACGATCTGCCCGGCCACCGATGGCCCTGAAAGTATATTTGATATTTAATGATATATATTCTTATTTTACTCGCGTAATACTGCCACGAGAGTAACCTGACATTCAATATTTTTATATTCATATAACATAATATATGAAATATCAACGGAGTATAATTAAGTTTCAATATATTAGCGAAGACACATTCCAGTGATTCCAATGGGCAAAGTGAAATGATTAAACACTGAATCATGTGCTTCTTGAATAACCCAAGAAGGTGATGCCAAACTCCATTATCAGATTGTAATTCACATCGTCAACACCTCAACTGTCATGCTGAATTTAACACCTCCCTAGTTTTGGTTTTCAGCCCCATTGTCCAATGCACATAAAAACATATATTTATTGTATTCAGGGTCTCGACCCACAAAGCGTTCATAACGTTACCTGTTGCAACTCTGTAGTTTATCATATGCTTACGAATGTCGTAGCGCTACGAACGTTTATGGATCGGGACCCTGGATGTTAGAATATTCGACATGAACCTGTATACAATCATGTACAATATATATGCCCCGTTACCTATTGAATACGCCAAGCAGACAGCGAGTTGGGCAATAGCGTACACACTTCCATAGAAAGCATCATGGCGCGTGTCCACTAGAAGCGCCAGCAGAGGAAACAAGGCGGCATCCGTAATGCCTGAAACAGTGTTTAAGAAAGCCATCCAGACATCTGGGAAAATTAGGAAAATGCATAAACCTTATACTAACGACTGACGGTGCAATATTAAAGAAAGTCATCAAGTGACGTCTTTGAAAGTTTGGAGTATGCATTAGAGATTATAATAGCGAGAGAAGGTGCATTATTATCGAAAGTCATCCATCAAGTTTTGAGAATGCGTTGAATCTGAAATTAACGACTGACGCTGCATTATTAAAGAAAATCATCCAGTGACGTCTTTGAAAGTTTGACATATGCATTAGAGATTGTTATAGCGAGTGAAGGTGTTTCATTTACGAAACTCATCGAGTGACGTCTTTGAATGTTTGGCATACTAATGACTCCTCGCATGGTTTTAAGAGTACATAATTGTTTTATTTAATAATAACACATACCAATACCGAGTCCTATGCCAAAGTGTGGTAAGATAAGCTGGGGTACGCTTGTTGCGAAAGGAAGCTGAAACAAATCAGAGGGTATTAAGATGGCATATGTTACTGGGCAATTTAGAACCTGACATGCACAGAGAACAGGTGGCTAATGCTTTGAGTGAAAGTGTTCAGTTTTACAACATGTAAGCAACTATATGTACAGTAAAGTACGGTTATAACGAACACTCTCATAACAAAATGCATGACGAATTACGGTTATAACGAACACTCTTATTACGAATCACGGTTATAACGAGCACTCTAATCACGAATTACGGTTATCACGAACACTCTTATTACGAATTACGGTTATAACGAACACTCATGAATTAAGGTATCATGAACACTCTTATAACGAATTACGGTTATAACGAATTAAAATTAGTGGTCGTTGGAGTTTCTTTACAACCGTAGTTTTCTGTATTTACGGACTTGAGGACACAACACGGCCTTGGCTGAACAAACACATTCTAATTACTCTTTCCGTTCCAGTTAAATTGCACTCTTCGTGTAGTTTGCAGTCGAAGGAGAAATGATGTAACGAATATAAATGTATATAATGTTCAGGAGCTAAAATCATGTCACGGTGTAGCATAGGTATAGCACCCCATTAGAAATTTCCAGGTCAGTAATATGCAGCTACATGGGATAGATGGTCAGGTTTAGCAACTTGGCTCATTGACCATCGTCGTATCCCGACAAACAAACAAATATACAAGCAAAAATTCCCTGTCGTAACTCTGTCCTGAAAAGCATCAAAGGATGCAATCCACAATTTGTGTCCCCTGCCGTGATAGTGCTGAAATGTAACTCACTCACTCACTCACTCAGAATTAAGTTTCGTTCCTCGAAGATAAATTATTCAGAGAAACACATCATCAATCTATCTGGCCATCTTCTTCTCAGCGGAAGGGACAGTGGGGGTAGCCTAGTGGTTAAAGCGTTCGCTCGTCACGCCGAAGGCCTGGGTTCGATTCTCCACATGGGTACAATGTGTGAAGCCCATTTCTGGTGTTCCCCGCTGCGATGTTGCTGGAATATTGCTAAAAGCGGCGTAAAACCATACTCACTCACTCACTCAATCTCAGCGGTCTGCACGGTGATCCCATGGCGACAGGAATAAACTACATATCGATCATGAATACTCACACAGACGAGGCACAGGCCAATCAGTAGCATACAGCATAGAGTGGTGATCCACCTATAACACGAAATCAATACAACGATCTGAGACACATATAAGGATAAGAGAACAAGTATTCACTTTATAAATTCTTTTATCAAAACATTAATATGAAAACCGACATACTTAGTTTAGAAATACGTTTTTAGTTCATGTTTTGTAGTGAGACAACATGAATTGTAATGCGGCTAGAGAAGAAATCATTTAAGAGTGTTTAAATTTATTTTTCTTATTTGATATTGTTACTAACTTTATTGTATTTTTATGAAATTTACAACTATTTAAAACTTTAATACCGACATCGTTAGTTTTGCCATTGTAAAACCATATAGTGAAACAATACTAATTTGTGTTACAAATGGAGAAACAATAACCGTCTTAAGAGTTTAATCGTCATTTATGCTATTGCCGCTATGGATGTATTTAAAAGAGTTAACAATTACAATGGGGCGGTGAGATTGCGTGTCATTAACTCGTTAAGGTTCGATTCCTTACAGGGTTAGAATTGGTCTTTAGCAACCCATGTTTGTCGTAAGAGGCGACTAACGGGATCGGGTGGCCAGGTTGGTTGACACGTGTCATCGTATCCCAATTGCGTAGATCGATGCTCATGATTTTGATCACTGGATTGTCTGGTCCAGGCTCGATTATTTACAAACCACCGCCATATAACTGGAATATTGCTGAATGAGGCGTTAAACACCAACCAACAAACAAAACATACATAGGTATATATACATTGCCTGAAGCCCATTCTTGATATCCAAACCGTGAAATGATTACTAAAAGTGAAGCCATACTCAATCAAGTATAATTCTAAGTAATTTATTCATCATTAGCGTCATTAGGAAACATATTTGCGTACGAACATACCTTCCTATGCTTCTGGCTGCGATTCCAAAGAAGTTGGTTCCAACTAAATACCCAACACTGTCCGGGAGAAATACTATGCCTGAAAATTGTTCATAACAGCCTTATTATTGCGTGAAGAAAAAAAATCATTCGTGTAATAATGTATCAATTTGCTCTTTAAACAATTAAAATATTCTGTGTGGGAAAATCTTTAAGGAGCTTTCATGGTAAGAGATGAAATAGGTACAGTTAGGTCCTGTTAAGACATTTCGTGAACATGTAAGACAGGGCCAAGTTTCACAATGCTATCGTAGCGTTACGACTGTCATACCTCCTATGCTGTAACATTACGACAGTCATAACGCTACGATAGCTTTGTGAAACGGGGCATGGATTCGTATTTACACAAGTATAGCTGTTCTTAAGATCACTGACTTCGTGCAAACATATATGAACACATATGAACACAATACGAACATAGTAAACAAAGGAAACTGCTGTTATCTAAACAAACACTGGGGCGAGATCACACAAACAAACAATATGAAATAATACGTAATAAATATCTTTCTCTTCATAACTGTATACATTAAAATGAAAACAATATTTGAGTACATAGGAATCACTCTAAAACATACATAGAGAAGATACATGGTAATTAATTTGGATTTGGGTGACAGAAAATAGGGAACATGTTTTCGCATTGCTTTCAAAGTTGCTGTCGTCAAGATTGTATGACAGGGGTGAAGAAACTATCCACAAGACTTTATGACCAAAATGATTCACTTTTTAATGTTGATTTTTACCATGTTCTCTTGATTTTTGTCAGGTGATTCAGTGAATTCAGTTTGTGAATTCACTGTTTGATCAGAATACGGGCACCTTTCATGAATACATAGTGTGATCACTATTCTATGTGAGCTAAGTTTCTGATATATACGGAATAACCTTTTAGTACAAAAGACACGAATGAAAATTATTGAATATTTATTTATCAACATGGGCGATAACATAGTAAAACAGATAGCATTTTCTTGTGAAAATAAGACTCAAGATACCATGATAATATACCGGGAATAGAAAGTTAAGCGCCAGCCTATTCAAAACTAAGATGTGAAGCTGTGGAAATGTTAGGCTCAAATAATTGAGAAGATAAGTCCATATTTAGAGAAGGTTCATCTGGTAACTGATTTAGAGATATCATAATCATTTGTATTTACAATTAAAGGAAATATTGTTAAAGATACGATGGCACTGCTTTTTAAAGCAAAATAACTATTCCTATTCTGCTTATACAACACTATTAAACGTAGGTTTCACTTGTCAAAAATGACAATCATGTGACCGTATAACAGTCATTTCTGATTTTCACTTTTCAAAAGAAGGAAACCTTTTGGAGGAAAACATAATGCATGTTTTCCAAAAGCGCCTACATCCTGTTTAAAGTAAAAGATAATTTCCACAATGGTTTTGTTTTTAAACTAAAAGTACTAAACCAAATTATTATAGTTGTATTTTTTCTGAAAGATTTCCTATGAGACTACCTGTATTGGCCAAAATATACTGGGTGGCGCTTAACTTTTTATTCACAGTATATATACGCCGACATTCGAGGAGTGTTTGTGCCGAACAGAAAACAAACAAGGAATATTGAAAGCAAATGTTGTACCAAGTTGCCACTTTTGGGCATGCATCTTGTCCAGGATCCAAAGCGGCACCGTCGGCTCTAACACCGACATGGCCATCGTCGTGATCATGATGACTCCTACAGGAATATATTAACAATGAAATTATGTAAAGGTGGTTGGTTATAGGGACTTGTTGATTTATTGCTTTGAAATACAATAGACTACGGTTATATCTAACTCAAAGTGTCTGCTAAATATAGTTAGTTATAATACCCGTAGTTCGTTATCCGCATATCGACAAGTGGCCGGGGTAATAAACACATCACTTCGTTATATCCGTAGTTCTCTATAAGCGTGTTCGTTATATACATAGTTGACTATTGGTGACCAAGTTTTATTCATTTATTTGTTAGGGATTCAGCATCTCATCTTATAAAAACACAATGTCATTTAGAAAGAGGTCAAATGTAACATATGTTATATTTGGGATTACACTTAATCAGTAAAGTACAGATTCCAGTACTTTTGTTGGGTTGAGTCCCATCCGGGATTCAAACCCACACCCTCAGGGTCAGGCGCCTAAGCGCCAGCACTCAAAGACCACTGCCTAACCTATATCATAAAGGAAGACTTTGTTTATTTGCTAAATATATTTACAGAAATGAACTCCAGTCAAAAAGTATTTTTGCAGACAGAATTAAATGTGTCATTTAATTACAATTATTGACGTCAGTTTTTCATGTGTGATTTAACAGCTGACAAACACTACACGTGGCACTGCCTCACCTGACACTATCAGTATGTAGGGGTCACGTAACAGTTTGTGGAGAGGTGTGGATCGACAGGCATTCTGAAAAGGATGGTTCAGAATGAAATCAGTAAACAAAACACTGGGACGACATCACAAAAACAAACAATATGAAATAATACGTAGTAAATAATTATCTTTGTCTTCATAGCTGTATACATTAAAATGAAAACAATATTTGAGTACATAGGAATCACTCTAAAACATACATAGAGAAGATACATGGTAATTAATTTGGATTTGGGTGACAGAAAATAGGGAATATGTTTTCGCATTGTTTTAAAGTTGCTGTCGTCAAAATTGTATGACAGAGGTGAAGAAACTATCCACAAGACTTTATGAAGAAATTGATTCAATTTTAATGTTGATTTTTACCATGTTCTCTTGATTTTTGTCAGGTGAATCAGTGAATTCAGTTTGTGAATTCACTGTTTGATCAGAATACGGGCACCTTTCATGAATACGTACTGAGATCACTATTCTATGTGAGCGAGGTGTATGATATATACGGAATAACCTTTTAGTACAGAAGACACGAATGAAGTTTCTTCTAAACTTTGGGTTACTCTGCGGAAGAAATAGGCCGTCATAATATATATAACATTGATGCGAAACAAAATGTATTCTCTCTTTCTACATCTTTTGGGGCCGATGGTTGACCAAACATGTTGTGACTGGTGAAATGATATAAGTTAACAACAAAATAATCTTCGATTGATGATATTCATGTTACTTACTTCAGTCGTGACTGAGAGATTGAAGACAAACCATTGTAATCCTGAAAATAAAATTGTAAAAATTCATAAAAACCTGCTCGAATATGTTGATTATCTTTTCACGAAGAATCGAATCATAAATATTCTTTGATATTCCTTTAAACGATTCACCTCAAACGTCTAGCTTTGTTCAAACTTAAATAATCTCTCTTTTTCTCTCATTCACACACATCACACACACACACACACACACACACAACAACAACAACAAAAACCAAAAAAACCCCAAAACCAACATACATACATGCATACATACATACATGCATACATACATACATACATACATACATACATACATACATACATACATACATACATGCATACATACATACATACATACATACATACATACATACATACATACATACATACATACATACATACATACATACATACATACATACATACATACATACATACATACATACATACACACACACACATACATACATACATACATACACACACATACACACACACACATACATACATACATACACACACACACACACACACATACATACATACATACATACATACATACACACACACACACACACACACATACATACATACATACATACATACATACATACATACATACATACATACATACATACATACATACATACATACATACATACATACATACATACATACATACATACATACATTGACAGGGTGAAGTTCATGTACATCTTACCGAGGTCGACGCATATGAGGACACATATGACAAGAAATGGTGACATTTTGCCCACGAACGTGTACATAAATCCTCCAAACGGATAGCCAACTGTCAAAATAGGAAACAGTGTCATACAAATATTGAATTGAAACGATTTTTGGTTTCACTTTCCGTACGTATATCATCGAATGAGCTGACAAAACTGATAGTGCAAACCGAAACATGAGTCTCATTAACTTATTCAGACAATGACCTACTTTTCAGCCGATCCAAATTTTCTCGTGTGAAAGTGAAAATAGACATCACAAACAACTATGGTTACACTGACTTCCACTTTCTTGTTTCCATAAGAAAATGGTATTTACAAATGAATTTTAATTTTAAACTTTAATAACATCGTATTTCTATATTTTATTGGCGAGGTGTTGGCAGCATACCTTAACTAAGACTTCACAGACTGCCCCAGTTTGATGAGGTCGTAAAATGATTTACAATTCATTCAGCTCATTGGTTACACCTGTTAAGTATTGTTTGCGCTTATGCAGTGTAGTGCTGTAACGGACAGTGTGATTGATATCATATTAAGTCCGTACCAGACCGCCAAACTTTTTTAGCTTTTTAGCGGCAGAGCCTACTTTTGATATTTTCACGATTTCCAGGTTTCTGTTTGTCAGAGCTCGCTGCACGACATGTTTGCAAGGGTTATAAGGACCGTAGTGTTGCATTATACAATTGCTTAGATGTATCAAATAATACCGATTAATAGTTATGCATCCAGTTAAATGAATTGGTCTAAAAATTCTGGACTGGTTATTATACTAAGTTGCGCGATAGGACGGAACCCAGTCAACAGGAAACGAGACTGATGTATACTCAATGTTTTGACTTGTATGAGTGGCGCAGGTCAAGATCCCTCAATATAGTTTGGTGACTGAGTGATTGAGTGAGTGAGTGAGTGAGTGAGTGAGTGAGTGAGTGAGTGAGTGAGTGAGTGAGTGAGTGAGTGAGTGAGTGAGTGAGTGAGTGAGTGCGTGCGTGAGTGAGTGAGTGAGTGAGTGAGTGAGTGAGTTTCTTTCGCCAGCATTACCGCGCTCGGTCACACCAAAATAAGCCACGAACTTTATAACCTTAATGTAGAATCGAACCCCGTCATTCTTGTGCGACGAACCAGGTTATCCCCCACCATGAACGTGTGAAAAAACAATGTCATATTGATTTGTTAAAATCATAGCGTTACCAAGTACTCCAAATGCTGCTCCTCCCATAGCTAAACCCATAGCTCCGCTTCTCGCTCTGTCATCCGGGTATCGAGATGCAACTATACTCATCCCTGTAAATAATGCATACATGGAGGCAATGGTCCAGAACAAGAATCAATGTTGCAATTGACACTGCAGGTGTTTTACCAGCACTCCTGTGAAACTGCACAATCGATATATAAGTGCTCAATTGGGAAAACTAGACTGCCAAGCTTCTTTTTATCCCTGCCCGCTTCATTTTGTATCAATGGAATAAAAAAAAATTGGTTTTAATATTTCAATTTTAAATATTGTGCTTCTGGAATAGGAAAGACTCTGCTTCATTTCATTTGAGAACGTAATTCTGTGTAAATCCAACAGTCTTGGACGGGCAATTTCTTAATTACCTATGGGGATGGGGACACCGAGATAAGTCATCGTTGCATTCTAAGTTGCATTATAAGATTTAATTCCCCAACCCCCTAAGTGATGAGATAAATTGTGGCAACCCTCCTCGTTGGCTTTGCCATTTACCAAGTGCACTAAGATTCAGCACACACATTTACTTTACTTTATACTTGTAGGCAATCTTTAATGTTAGGCGCACCTGTTTTTGACATAAAATTGCATGATGTATTAAGTTTGATTTTTATGGCTTTGATATATCCCATGCCTTAACATAGACAACGCGTCAACGCACCCTGTCCCTTAAAGTTAATTATACTTGTACAACTACTTATTGCATATAGCATAGAACGACGTCAACGCGAGAAGTCGATAATTATGCGTTATCAAGCTACTTTTAGGAAAGAATCGACAGCGAAATGTCGCTCTATGTAATAAACAAGACGTTGTCATCTACATAGTGTATGCTTCATTTTGACTAACTTCTTCTTCTAGAATGCAGATCAAACAATGAGCCAGTCCTGATTATCGACCGAAACAAAATAGTGAAGAAAAATATAGAAAAAGATATGCAAATATCAATCTTCATGCTGAATGTTTAATGTAATACCCTACATGACCTCAATGTGACACACGCATCGCTTGTCTTTACGTGCATTTTACATTTCCTTCACTGTTTGACAAGTGTAATATTGCTGTGTGGGGAATTATCCATGTAAAAATTGTCTGGGAGACAAAAGTGCTGGGTGTTGTGTTATAAACACTGCCTACCTGCTATGACGGTGCCAGCGGATCCCAAACCTTGAACGGCCCGGGCGAAGAACAGGGGGATATACAACTCGGAACAGGCAAAAACTGAAAACGTATAATACATACCTGCTATTTACTGTTATGTTGCAGTGTTATTCACTGTGTAACAATGTTCCTAGTTTAATAGGGGGTGGGGTAGCCTAGTGGTTTAAGCGTTCGTTCGTTACGCCGAAGATTCGGGTTCGATTCCCCACATGGGTACAATGTGTGAAGCCTATTTCCATGATAATGCTGGAATATTGCTAAAACTAAACTCACTCACTCACTCGAACCCGGGTCTTCGGCATGACGAGCGAACGCTTTAACCACTAGGCTACCCCGCCGTTCTCAAGTTAAAAGAGGACCAGCAATTGTGTGACGATCAGTCGAACCTGTATACCACACCTAGGCCTGTTTGGGATACTTGACCACTGTTCCAGGTGAATAGAACCCCTGTCTTTAATGCTATAATCACTGTTTTTGTATTTGACTGCCTTAGTCTTTTCACGACTGCACCATTTTGTACAGCCACTCATACCTTGTGTATTAATTTGGAAATTTTAAATTTAAGATACATTTGTTTATTAGATCGCAATACTTTGTTGTTTGCTGGTTTCATGCCTGGTTCTTTTATCAACTCATTCCCTGTTATCATTTAGTTTCAACTTGGAAATCAACTCTTGACATCGCGCTCTTACAGAGAACCACGGTTGGCGCAAGGAGCGTGACAGAAACTATGGTGGATTCCAATCCAAAGTTTTGTTTCTTGGTTTGTGTTCCACCAAAGTGGTGAAAGAGTAAGTCGGCTTTTACGCCGCTTTTAGCAATATTCCAGCAATATCACCGCGGGGGACACCAGAAACGGGCTTCACACATTGTACCCATGTGGGGAATCGAACCCATGATGAGTGATGAGCAGACACTTTAACCATTAGGCTACCCCACCACCCCGGTGAAAGACTAAATTCATTGTATGGTGTTGTTTATTTTAAGTACTAGTATATATATCACATTCTCAATCGGTAAACCATGATTAATTTAAGCAGACATATAGCATTTGTATCTATTTTGTTTTGCTTCAGCAACGTGAAATGGTTAAATGAAAACTTTAAAACATGTACTTACTTAGAGCTGAGGCCAGTATCACCACGCACCCGCAGAACAAGACTATGGGATAACCCACTCTGAAAAATAGTTATTTGTGATTGTTTGAGAGGGAGGGCAATTAGGGTAAGAAAACTAAAATAACAACTGTATCTCTACTATTGATTGATTGATTGATTGCTGTTTAACGCCGCACTCAGCAATATTTTACCGGTCTGTAAATAATCGAGTCTGGACCAGACAATTCAGTCATCAATAGCATGAGCATCGATCTACGCAACTGAGATACGATGACATGTGTCATCCAAGTCAGCGAGCCTGATCACCCGATCCCGTTAGTCGCCTCTTACGACAAGCATGGGTTACTGAAGACCAGCTCTAATCCAGATCTTCAGGGGTTGCATCTCTACTAACTATTAATCCACTGTAATTAGACAACTAGGCTCTGTGAGACAGAAGGGTTTGAGAGTTTTCGGCCACGAAGTTGCCGAGTCTGGGATAGATTACTGTAAAGCTGTTTCGATGTAGTAGGATCGATGCATGGAAAACAAATGGTTACCTCTCGAAACACGACGTCAGTTCTTTAAGAATTGAATAAGCGAACCGTGATGCTGCGGTAAATTATACTGAATGGTTTTCCATTAGTTTGTAGCCGCACTGCAGCTATATGGCGGCTGTCTGTAGATAATCGAGTCTGGACCAGACTATTCAGTGATCAGCATCATGAGCATCAATCTGTGGTTGATATTATGAACAATGGCACACAATTATCAGGTGACTGAGTCTGACGACCCGATTTTTCACGTACCTCTGGTCTGTCTCACAGTCCCCGAAGCAAAACAAATTCCGTCCACCCACCCGTGAAGATCCGGGTTCGAACTGATCTTCAGCAACCCATGCTTGTCGTAAGAGGCGACTAACGGGATCGGGTGGTCAGGCTCGCTGACTTGGTTGACACTTGTCATGGTATCCCATTTGCGTAGATCGAAGCTCATGCTTGTGATCATTGGATTGTCTGGTCCAGATTCGATTATTTACAGACCGCCTCCATATAGCTGGAATATTGCTTGGTGTGGCGTTAAACAACAAACAAACCCAGCCCATTCTTCAGTGCTCAAGCCTAGTCTAACGCTTATTCTCTGAATATATATAACTTTGATAGGAACAAATAAAATTCCTTTTACATTTATAAGGAGCCCAAGAGAGAATGGAGATTCAGAACCTGAGAAAATCTAGACTTGCTTCATTGAACTCCCATTTAACATGGCAGAAAGGGCTGAGGCGGAAGGGAAAATACTGCGGTTCAGGGACTGTGAGACAGATTATGCTTAAGCCTTCAATGAAGCAAGTCTAGATTTTCTCCCTTCCCACTACCTCTCCTCTCCAATATAAATGGAATTATTGGTTCTATCAACTTCCAAACTTATATATATTCAGAGACATTGCGTTGGGGACATATAAACATGAATCCCCAAATTCAAAATGTGAATACACCCCAAAAATGTTGATTGCAGAATAGTCGCAGCTAGATGATGTTCAGCTCCGAATTTAAGAATGTCCATGGAAATATGATTTACGTTATTAGCTTTCATCAAACGATTGGTTCGCTTTCATATTACTTTGACAAATACGAATCCATCATTTCAGCTACTCTTGCGTTACAATATTGATCAACGTTCAACATTTTTGTGTTAAACGCATTATTTTCATCCTTAATAAAACTCTGACTATATTTTACAGATCGAGATTGTTTAATCATTCTTTTGGAAAGCGAACGATATTAAAGACTTTTTTATCCATAAAATATTGCATAAAAGACTATATTTCAGTCTTAATGACAGCATTTAAGTGCTAAATTTTCGCCTTAATGTAAGCCTTAAGTTTAGCAGATCCATTCATGTCATTAGGGGGCGAGAAGCGTGAAATCGAGTGACTTCGAATCACGGGATGGAATTGAGATGCTCTGTCCATGAAATCGCAATTTGCTGAAGAAGGAGACTGGCTTTGTGATGTAATTGAGGTGATTGACAAGAATAATTCAATAAGACGAGGACACCCTGCCCAGTTGATGAGGATCGCTTGAATGGTCTGCTCGTTGAAACTAAGTTGCGATTATACTGACCGTATGGGGCGGATGCTGGTTGTCATGTAGGTATCTACGCAGCCTTGCCCCAAGGCTGTACTGAATGCTGAGCTCATGGATGTATAGTAATTCTATCCTTCGAAGAGGCAAGACTAGATAAGCGGACAGTATCCACATTGGTCCATTTCATTCATAAAGGCAAACTAACACTGAGACTACCAGGTGCCTATTGCTGTGAGGCTATGAGAGTGAATTTGAGGTCAAATCTGTCATTTTGCTGCCACGAGTCATGCACATCACTGTAAGCAACTAAGATTCTTGACAGGACTGCCCAGATAAGGCTGTCGCCACACGACATGTTGGTAACAATATTGACATGGGTGTTCCAGTACAAATCAGGCAAATCCGGTCTCTAAGGACACCATAGACGAACGCTTAGTCTCTGAATATATGTAACTTTGATAGTAACAAAATAAACCCATTTAAACTGACAATGAGCCCCAAGGAGACCAGAGATTCAGAACGTGAGGGAATGTAGACTTGCTTCATGTAGAGCTTTAGCATTGCAGAGAGGGCTTGGCAGCTGTGAGACAGACTAAGGAGCCCAGTCCGTTGTCTATTATTCATTTAGAAATTATCATTTAAACTATTATTTTTTAGCTTAGAGACTTGTGCAAGTCTAGTATCTACGTACTTTCACGCATCCTTGCAGTACATGTTAATAGTATTTACAAACCTTTAAATTCCTCAGTACCTCCAAAACATTGATTGACGTACCGCTCTTTGAGAGTTTTCTCAATTTAGGGCTACAGCTAGATTAAAGAACGTAAATGTATTTTGTGCTGTCATCAGTTCGGTAATCCAACAAATGTACTATTTTACTGTTCTGTGTTATTGAATTTGGTTGGCAGTTGCACGGAGTTTTCTATGACGCTAGTCCAAACATCACAATGACATTTTGTAGGCACGCATTCGGGGAAACATGAGAACACGGTTCATCTGCTACGAGTACTTGTATAAAAGCAATGGCCGCCACTATGCTGAAATGCATAAAGATATCATGTTGGTGTTCTAATATTAATAAAGTTTCTTAATTGAATTGGATGAATGAATGAATGAATGAATGAAATAGTCCTGATTTTGTCAGTTCGAAACCCTCCACATTCCAGCATATAGTTATTTCAGTGCAACAAATTATTAATATTGATGATGCTAAACACAATGCTAGAGACTCCAGATTGCAAACATTTTCACAAATAATATCAGTGGACGTTTCATAAACGAGAGGTGTCCGGAGTTTCAGGGTCTGATCTGGCGAGGTGTCGTTGGTTATAAATGTGTATACAAACCTGCATCACGATTTAACAAAGAAAATGAATTCCGTACTCACAGATCCATATAAACAGAAAATGATATGGGGGCAATGTTTCCGGAAAAACAGTGTCCAGATTAAGGGGTTGTCATTGTTTGAAGTATGTATACACGCTAACACCCATTACCTGTTACAGAGCGGTCCGATGAGAGGTCCCGCTATAAGCTGTATTATCGCCTTGGAGGAGAGCAGCCATCCAACTTTAGTATTTTCATTGAGAGCACTGACGGACAGGGAGAAGGCTTTTTGTGTCAAAGACTGGCTCTGGGTGTGATTCAAGCTTTGCCCTGATTCATTTCTGTACAAGGTCCTGTTCCTGGAGTGAAAGTTGGCCTCATCCAGATCCAGCAAGATGTCAGGGATGATCGGGACTGAAACAGGAATACTAAACCAGTTATCATGTTGACAATAGGGTTACAGAGACTGAAACAGGAATATTAAACCTGTTAAGATCCTGTTGACAATAGGGTTACAGAAACTGAAACAGGAATATTAAACCCGTTAAAATCATGTTGACAATAGAGTTACAGAGACTGAAACAGGAATATTAAATCCGTTACGATTCTGTTGACAATAGGGTTACAGAGACTGAAACAGGAATATTAAACCTGTTACGATCCTGTTGACAATAGGGTTACAGAGACTGAAACAGGAATATTAAACCTGTTACGATCCTGTTGACAATAAGGTTGAAACAGGAATATTAAAGAGACTGTTGGTTACAGAGAAACAGGAATATTAAACCTGTTACGATCCTGTTGACAATAGGTTTACGATGAAACAGGAACTTAAAACTGTTATCATGTTGACAATAGGGTTGCAGAATGAAACAGGAATATTAAACCCGATGACTGGAACTGAAACGAGAATATTAAACCCGTTACAATCATGTTGACAATAAGATCACATGGACTGAAACGGGAATACTAAAACAGTGACGATCCGGTTGACAATAAGACCACAGGAACTGAAACAGGAATATTCAGCCAGTAACGATCCGGTTAACAATTTGATCACAGGAACTGAATCAGGAATATGGAACCAGTTTCGATCGTGTAGAGATTTAGACTGATTGCCACTATGTAGAGCAAAAGGTTAACCTGAACAAAAATATAACCAATAATGACCCGGTAGACAAGTGGGATCACAGCTGCTGGAACGGGAATACAATACCAGTTACGATCCTCGATACGAATAGGCTAATGGCAACCGAAACAGGAATACAAAACCGGTTACAATCCTATAGATCAAACGACACTACACATATGCATAAACTGCACTGACCACTCTGATAATGGGAGGGAACAGAACATGTTCTACTCTGTTGGTACACTGTATCTATATACATACTCGTATCTACGTCACTGCTGTGGCTGGTCAGTTTGTCAGTCCTAGCAAATTGGCTTCAAGTCCCTCAAGTATAATTGCAGTATTAATCACAGCGTCTATGACTACGAAGAAGATAGGGACAAGGTCGTGGGACATAGTGTTCATTTACATTACGTAGAAACTTTGAAAAATCGGTCAGAGCAGAATTACAATCAGAACAAACTAGAATCGAACATTTACTGACATGCTAAACTAAACATTAATTGGAAATCTCAAGATCCTGCTTCCTTGCATCAAACAGACTAACGTGTCTAAACCCATGAATGAGAGAGTAAGTTGTTAAGCGTCACTTTTAACAATATTTAAACAATATCATGGGGAATTAAACCTGCCAGTTCTATAAGGGATGTATAGAAACATTGACATGCATGTCCTTGTGATATTCAGATGTTTATGACGACATAGATTCACATACTTGTCTATAGATAGAAGCGACAAAACCCTTTTCCACCTTCATAAGAAATATCTGCCAAAAGTAGAGTCGATTGTTAAATTGTGACTATATCGCGAGCAGATATTTGTTACATCAGTATTACAGCTGTATGATGTTGTTTGTAAACAAATCGGGTCTGAACCAGACAATTCCAGTGATTGCCACCTTGGATACGATGACAGAGCATGTGTTTATGGGGCTATCGTGATATGAGATGCCCAAAACATTCTGGCAAAATTGTGAGATACAGCTTCCCCTCGGATGGTGTAATCTTCCAGCTGTTTTACTTTAGCATCTGTGTTTCGGCCACCAGTAGCGTTAACTATCATCCTTCATGAAAGCCACAATATAGCGCGCATAATACTAACATGTAGTTGGTGATAAAATGTCAGATTACATCACCACAAGACAACGGCGGTTGTAAGTTTCATATTGATGACAAGGAGAAGGTAACTGGCTTCAAAACAGAGATACTAGATATTATTCGAAAATAGTTATGAACAGCTTCAATAATACAAAGGGAGACAAAGACACCTACGTGTGTTACGTCATCGGGGAATGACGTCTTATGACGTCATTACCAGTATGGCGTCGTGTGCAATGGGGTTTGATAGTTACTTCCACGAAATCGATCTAATTTAAACGATCTAAGCAATTGATGATAAGATATCAGAATACATCACCCCAAAAGAAGGCAGGTTGTACTTGCGTTTTATATTGATGGCATAGAGGATGTAACTGGCTTCAAAACAGGTTATATACAAGATGCTGGTCTAAAATGGTTATTAAGAACCTTACTTATACAAAGGATCTAAAGTAGCAGACATCTACATGTGTTTTACGTTATCATGGAATGACGTCGTATGACGTCCTGTGCCATCGGGTTTGCACCATCGTTGGTGGGTCTTCGAGAAATACAGATGATGAAGATAGTTACTTCAACGAATTCGATCTATTTACAGCGATCTAAGCACTATGCGTATCTCAATTATATGCTCTAGTGTGGGAGTTCCCTTTAGCGTTTAGGCCGCTATGTAAAACGAGCCTTGTCCATTTTACTGTGGCCTAGCGTATACAGAAATAACTTCCCATCTACAGGTTCCGTTCACCATACAGCATCACGGCTATTGACTTCATCCTACGGCGTCCTTTTCCACAAATCAAAATGTACACATTAACGAATCTGTTCAATGATCCTTTAAATGCACACATCCAACATCAAGGCTGTTGGGCAAAAGTCACATTTGCATGCATCCTCAGCAACATGTTTTTTATTGTTCAATTTTCACTGCAACACGAAGTGAAAACCGCCGTAGGTTGTTCCATATATAAGCTACTCTACTCAGATGGTAATTACATTTATACCCCCAAGATATGTTCTGTTTCACGCTGAGAAATGTGACGCTCTCAATTCAATTATTCAAGGAAGGTTCGTCGGATATGGTAATTTGCTGCGGGTTTCCATAGAAATAGCAGAAACAGACCCTTGACTAATGATTAATGATACACGTAAAAAGATATATTGGGAAAGTATAATACATATTTCGATAAACAAATCTACTCAAGAAACCTTATAGATGATAAAATGAGCACATACAAGAGACATAACTAATCATATAAATGTTAGTAATCTGTGCTTAAAGCACCCATTTGTACCGTAATGAAATCATTGTGAAACTCTCAGAGATGAAAAATATAATAAAAACATGTTTTCAACATTATACAATTCATTTCCGAGAGTATAGATATACTCATTCTCTCTCTCTCTCTCTCTCTCTCTCTCTCTCTCTCTCTCTCTCTCTCTATATATATATATATATATATATATATATATATATATATAAATATATCATCCTTCAGCACTTCACCATAAATTATTAGGAGGGTATTAATAGCAATATTTTGACAGTATTATAAGGTTATACAGTCAACTCTCGTTAATCCGACACTTGTGGTTGCAGAGAAATATGTCGGATTAACGAAAATGTCGGATTAATGAAAATGTCGGAGTAATGTATTTGTGTGAAAATATCAATGTTTACTAAATGTATGTCATTATGAATATATTGGTGTTAGTGTCATATTTACATGCATTTAATTGGTGGTCAATATATTGAAGTCATCGTTCTGTACCAACGTGAATGGTATGCCAGCCATGGAAGTGCAAAGTTACAAATATTGGTAGACTGTTCTCTTGAACTATATAGCCAAATTATATAAAGGATAATACTTAGGTATATGTTTTATAAATCTTAACCCACCTTTGCATTTAATCACAGAGTTCGAACCAAAGGTCATTACCGACTCTTGTGAATAAGTGTTTCCGAACAACTGAATACTGCAAAGTTTATCAATGACACACCGACCCTCAGTCATTGAGTACGTCTTATCTTTCAAACAGATGAACAATATAGAATTACTTATTAATAATAGAAATATAAATACTTTTAAAAAAATAATTAAAAAATATAGAATTGCACTTTACATCACGTTATTTCCATTGCTATTTTGAATTATATGCCATATGGGAAACTCGAGACAGTTCTTCTCGGGCGTTGATGTTGTATATCTTGTTGATAATGATATGAAAGATATTGTAATGCTTGCATAATTTACATAAATTAAATAAAATCGACATTTCAAAAGTATTTACCTGAACAAAGAAACTTAAATATTAAAATTACTCTGTCCTGAATTTAAATTGACAACTACGTAATAAACCAATGAAGGAAATACATTTTAAACACTTTTATTCCCCAGCATGGCTTTTAAAATAGACTTTTAATAAAAAAATATATACCTTCCTTTCTGACCATCAACCGACTTCGCGTAAAAGGTATCTTTGAGGGATAAATTGAAAAGGTCAAAGCCGGATAATAATCTTAATAGTCTTAATCTGCCGAAACACATTCCACACAACTTGACAATCATGTGAATGGATCGCTGCTGGAAATCAGTGAGGACAGTAGGAGTTCGCTGAAAGGAAGGGAGTGAGTGAGTGAGTTTAGTTTTACGCCGCATTCAGCAATGTTCCAGCTATATGGCGGCGGTCTGTAAATAATCGAGTCTAGGCCAGACAATCCAGTGATCAACATCATGAGCATCGATCTACGCAAATGGGATACCATGACATGTGTCAATCAAGTCAGCGAGCCTGACCACCCGATCCCGTTAGTCGCTTCTTACGACAAGCATGGGTTACTGAAGATCAATTCTAAGCCGGATCTTCAGGGGTCGTTTGCTGAAAGGGGTAAAATGTGTTTCGTAATAGAAACCAAATGTGACAATGCTAATGCTACAATAATAAACTGTCTGAGAAAAAAAACAAACCCACGTTTGATTTTTGGCTAATAATGAAACAGACAGGAAGTGGCTATTGGATGGTGATGTTTCCGATACGCCTGTCTTAACCGCTGATAAACGTTCGTAACGATTTTGGTTCTGTTTTAAATTGTATACTTTCTTTCAACCTGCAGGTTGTCTGTTTAGTGATACTTGACTTGCAACACAAGTACTTACCAACCGCCGTCAACAACAGACTGTCCAACATGTTGGTATAAAACACGATGAACAGGGCCAACTTCGTGGAATGCTCACACTTCCTACGAATGCTTCTAATACGTTCAAATGCCATTTCTGAAAACAAAGGAATCTAGTGTAGTTTTATATAAGAATCCTTTCTTATACTATTGAGAATTATATCATGCATATCATATCAATAGAAGTATGATTCATGAAATACCACGAGTGTTAAAGGTCTGTTCGTTCTTTAAAAGAAGTAAAACACGTTGTATCATATTCCATATACTGAAGCTCTGCTTGTGATGTAAATGTTTTTGACTTAGTGAGTGAGTGAAAATTGTTTAACGCCACATCAGCTGTTTTGCATCCACTCTCGGCGAGTAATATCTTACAACAACATATTTAGCATGATGATAAGACTGACTGACTGAGTTTGGTTTTACGCGGCTTTTAGCAATATTCCAGCAACATCATGGCGGGGGACACCAGAAATGGGCTTCACACATTGTACCCATGTGGGGATTCGAACCCGGGTCTTCGGGGTGACGAGCCAACGCTTTAACCATTAGGCTACCCGACCGCCCCCATGATGATAAGAGTAATGTTGAAAATCAATATAATCTAAAACCTGACTAATGAGATAAAATTCTATATTTTTTTCATATAGTTTGATATATTTTAAATATGCTGGTACTAAATGGTTAGAAACTGTTGTAAGAAGGTTGGATAAGGAACAAACACAAGCAAGGTCAACACATCCAAGCAACATGTGCTTGCTTATTATTTATTATTGCACGGGATGCTAAACGTATTGGAATCTTCTTGTTTCTGCGAGTTACAATGCTATCTTGAAGCAAAGTATTTTCATTCCCATAAGAAGGAATACAATCATGATGATGTTAATAACTGAACTGGCATATGATGAAGGTATTGACTACATGTCGACATGTATCAAATTACTGAAGTATACGCATGTATTTCACTATAGAACGAGTAAGGTACAGAGCTCCACATCCTAAAATGAAATGTTTTCAAATACAAATATGAGAAAATATGACATGTTCAATTGCTTATGTTTACCGTGCTGCCATTCCCTTTACAATGATTACTCACAAGTACTATGTAGGTACCGATTTGTCCTTTGGTATTGCAGAATAGAAACAGTTAAAATATTTCTAATCTATTATCTGACACAGAAAGGTTTTAAGAAAACTAAAAAAATACTACATTGGCAATATATGGATACCGACTTACCTTTTGTGTGCTTAGATGGCTAAAAGGTAGAACGTGTGCTTGACTTTCTCGTTTAAATCCCACCGGTATTCAAGAAGAGGTCCACTTTGGCGCTAAGGCAGGCCTAATGCAATTCTGTGGACCCGCCAACGTCCTCTTCACAGCTCGACCAAATTGGCACGACGGAAAATTAGTTAATGCTGGGATGGGGAAATAGTCCATGTAGAAAATTGGCACTTAAAGGGCATTGTCACCAGGAGGAACCGTACTGTTCCTTCGTAAGAGGCATGTATCTGTCTCTCCAATTGAATGAGGTGGAAAGTGCATGACGCTTAGCTTTTTGTGTCCGTCTGGTTCATGAGAAAGTTCAAGCTGGGCATTCAAAACGAGGCACATTTGTATGCTACCGTTCCTCTATTTTGAAAAGCATTTGCTCTGTTTCTTGGCTTGTATTATCTTCTTGACTTCTTTGAGAGGCATTTTAGAAGTTGTATAGATGAAGGAAAACCAAGTTTATGGATAGTCAACTTCTTTATTGCAATGAGTGCGACGTTTCGGTGTAGGTACTAACACCGTTGTCAAGCAAGTTTATTATCTTCTTGTTATATCAGAACAAAACAGCACAGAAGAAAATTTAGAACAGATAGAAACTTTGCATAAAATACACAACACAAAATAGACAAAAGAGATATAGAAGATACAGAATAGATACAGAAGAAGGTATGGAACAGTACAGAAGATTATACAGAGCTGGTCACAAGAAGAAACTGAACAGATACAGAATATAATGAACAGTACAGAAGAGGATACAGAATATAATGAACAGTACAGAAGAGGATACAGAATATAATGAACAGTACAGAAGAGGATACAGAACAGATATAACAGAATATAATGAACAGTACAGAAGAGGATACAGAATATAATGAACAGTACAGAAGAGGATACAGAACAGAATACAGAAGAGGATACAGAATATAATGAACAGTACAGAAGAGGATACAGAACAGAAGAGGATACAGAATATAATGAACAGTACAGAAGAGGATACAGAACAGATATAACAGAATATAATGAACAGTACAGAAGAGGATACAGAACAGATATAACAGAATATAATGAACAGTACAGAAGAGGATACAGAATATATTGAACAGTACAGAAGAGGATACAGAACAGAAGAGGATACAGAATATAATGAACAGTACAGAAGAGGATACAGAACAGAAGAGGATACAGAATGTAATGAACAGTACAGAAGAGGATACAGAACAGATATAACAGAATATAATGAACAGTACAGAAGAGGATACAGAATATAATGAACAGTACAGAAGAGGATACAGAACAGTACAGAAGAGGATACAGAATATAATGAACAGTACAGAAGAGGATACAGAATATAATGAACAGTACAGAAGAGGATACAGAACAGATATAACAGAATATAATGAACAGTACAGAAGAGGATACAGAATATAATGAACAGTACAGAAGAGGATACAGAACAGATATAACAGAATATAATGAACAGTACAGAAGAGGATACAGAACAGATATAACAGAATATAATGAACAGTACAGAAGAGGATACAGAATATAATGAACAGTACAGAAGAGGATACAGAATATAATGAACAGTACAGTACAGAAGAGGATACAGAACAGAACAGAATATAATGAACAGTACAGAAGAGGATACAGAATATAATGAACAGTACAGAAGAGGATACAGAATATAATGAACAGTACAGAAGAGGATACAGAATATAATGAACAGTACAGAAGAGGATACAGAATATAATGAACAGTACAGAAGAGGATACAGAATATAATGAACAAGTACAGAAGAGGATACAGAACAGATATAACAGAATATAATGAACATTACAGAAGAGGATACAGAATAATGAAGATATAACAGACAGAATATAATGAACAGTACAGAAGAGGATTCAAGAATATAATGAACAGTACAGAAGAGGATACAGAACAGATACAGAACAGAATATAATGAACAGTACAGAAGAGGACAGTACAGAAGAGATACAGATATAACAGAATATAATGAACAGTACAGAAGAGGATACAGAACAGATATAACAGAATATAATAGTACAGAACAGTACAGAAGAGGATACAGAACAGATATAACAGGAATATAATGAACAGAACAGTACAGAAGAGAATATAATGGATAGAAGAGGATACAGAAGATAATGAACAGATAGAACAGATAACAGAATATAATGAACAGTACAGAAGAGGATACAGAATATAATGAACAGTACAGAAGAGGATACAGAACAGAAGAGGATACAGAATATAATGAACAGTACAGAAGAGGATACAGAATATAATGAACAGTACAGAAGAGGATACAGAACAGATATAACAGAATATAATGAACAGTACAGAAGAGGATACAGAATATAATGAACAGTACAGAAGAGGATACAGAATATAATGAACAGTACAGAAGAGGATACAGAATATAATGAACAGTACAGAAGAGGATACAGAATATAATGAACAGTACAGAAGAGGATACAGAATATAATGAACAGTACAGAAGAGGATACAGAACAGATATAACAGAATATAATGAACAGTACAGAAGAGGATACAGAAGAGGATACAGAAGAGAATATAAGAACAATTACAGTAAGAACAGTACAGAAGAGGATACAGAATATACATGAACAGTAAGAACAGAACAGAACAGAAGGATACAGAACAGATATAACAGAATATAATGAACAGTACAGAAGAGGATACAGAATATAATGAACAGTACAGAAGAGGATACAGAACAGATATAACAGAATATAATGAACAGTACAGAAGAGGATACAGAATATAATGAACAGTACAGAAGAGGATACAGAATATAATGAACAGTACAGAAGAGGATACAGGATACAGAACAGATATAACAGAATATAATGAACAGTACAGAAGAGGATACAGAACAGATATAACAGAATATAATGAACAGTACAGAAGGGATACAGAACATAATAACAAGAATATATATAATGAACAGTACAGAAGAGGATACAGAATATAATGAACAGTACAGAAGAGGATACATGAACAGTACAGAAGAGGATACAGAATATAATGAACAGTACAGAAGAGGATACAGAATATAATGAACAGTACAGAAGAGGATACAGAACAGAAGGATACAGAATATAATGAACAGTACAGAAGAGGATACAGAACAGAAGAGGATACAGAATATAATGAACAGTACAGAAGAGGATACAGAACAGATATAACAGAATATAATGAACAGTACAGAAGAGGATACAGAACAGATATAACAGAATATAATGAACAGTACAGAAGAGGATACAGAATATATAATGAACAGTACAGAAGAGGATACAGAACAGATATAACAGAATATAATGAACAGTACAGAAGAGGATACAGAACAGTACAGATATAACAGAATATAATGAACAGTACAGAAGAGGGATACATTGAAGAGGATACAGATATAATGAACAGATATATAATGAACAGTACAGAAGAGGATACAGAAGAGGATACAGAACAGAAGAATGATACAGTACAGAAGAGGATACAGAATATATTGAACAGTACAGAAGAGGATACAGAACAGAAGAGGATACAGAATATAATGAACAGTACAGAAGAGGATACAGAACAGAAGAGGATACAGAATATAATGGACAGTACAGAAGAGGATACAGAACAGAAGAGGATACAGAATATAATGAACAGTACAGAAGAGGATACAGAACAGATATAACAGAATATAATGAACAGTACAGAAGAGGATACAGAATATAATGAACAGTACAGAAGAGGATACAGAACAGATATAACAGAATATAATGAACAGTACAGAAGAGGATACAGAACAGATATAACAGAATATAATGAACAGAACATAATGAAAGGTTTCAGGTTTTGAATAAAAAGGGATGAGAATGAGTGAGAATAAGTTTACTCCGCTTTTATTAATATTCATGCCATATCAAGAGGGGAAGCGCTTGAAATGGGCTTCACATGTTGTGCCAATGTGGGAAATCGAACCCGGGTCTTGGAGTGATGAGTGAACGCTTTAACCACTAGACTACTCCACAGCTATAATTGTATACACAATACATGATAATTGATGTGAAGATATGATAATATTTTATAGTGTTTGAATGCATTTTGCATTGTCGCAAGAATGTGAAAACAAACTGAATAGATCTAGGGCCAAATAGATCTTCTTACATCCCGGGACATCTGACTATTGTATGTTGGTACTGCAACACACTATAACCTATGTACCTCAATCCTTGACACATGCCAATCAACACAATATTCCAGCGTCACGTCTAGCTGTTATACCTGTGGTCTTCTACCCGTGAAGATCCGGGTTAGAATTGGTATTCTGCAACCCATGCTTGTCGTAAGAGGCGAATGACGGGATCGGGTGATCAGGCTCGCTGACTTGGTTGACATATGTCATTCTATTCCAATTGTGTAGATCGATGCTCATGCTGTTGATCACTGGATTGTCTGGTCCAGGCTCGATTATTACATACCGCCGCCATATATTGCTGAGAACGGCAGTTCACAACAAACAAACTAACAAACAACCATGTGGTCTTCTCTCTCTAGACAGCAATACATCAGAACTCATCCTCACAACGAGCCTGTCGGACTACAAGGGGTCCATATTATACAGAGTGTCATATATATTCATCCAGCAGGTAGATGCATAATTTGCCATCCTTCCTACTCTGGTTTGACTGTACATCTGTCTATATCTTGACGTTCCCTCCAGGCCTACCGTCCTGTGGAGACAGAGTAAGCTGGGGGCCTCCACCAGACAACTTCCATGGCGCAACTGTCACCTTCATGATGTTCTTCATGTCTTTGACTCCGACCTTCAGGCTTAAGAACCCAGCTTAATCGAGATGGAAAAGTTATGGGAAGGATTTTACAGGAAAGTAGGCAAAAGGTTGAAAGTTGTGAGAGACTCCATGACACTGTTAAGTTAAATATTATGGAACATGTGTTTTCTTTGATTTTCTCTTGGTTACCAAGCAACATTATACGACGGCGTCTTAGTGGATTAGCTGCATGGTGTCTGGGAAAACAGTTCCATATTGGTGCGGGTTTGAAGAAGAATGGGTATATGACGTGTC